GTATCCGTGCTGATCAAAGCAGGTCGGTTGGGCCAAGAGGGAAAAGCACAAGCATTGCTCATGCCAAATGCTGTAGAGAAGGAGCACTTGCGAGGTGTAATATCGAGCAGAGAGTCCTGGGGAGTTGATGGAGGGGCTGCAGGGGCTGCCGGGGTGGAAATAGGCGAGCCACCGTCCCAAGTAGTATCGAAGCTGAAGGCGACCGGGTCGGTATTGGTCGATGCCTCACTGGGGGAGGATCTGAGACTGGCCGCGTTACCACTCCAGGCCTGGAGTGGAAACATTGGTATCGCCGATGATTTGGTGTACTTCATTGTGGGTGTGGGTGTGTGTGAAGAGTGGATGGATGAGATGAGGTTAGAAGCCACTATAGTAGTAGTGGGTTGAGCTCCAGTATGGTAGAGTGGAGAGGAGTGTGTTGCTGAGAGATTCACTTGGGGGGGTGGGAGCAACAGAAGATAATAAAGGTGAAGAAGATCGACAAGTCTGGGGAAGGGACCCAGAAGGGAGGAAGGGAGGAATGGGAGGGTGTAAATAGTAATAAGCTCTGACACCAATATTTGAGTAAATGGGTCAGAGTTGTGGTGAAGGAAAGGAGATATGTATATGTATGGGTCCAGATCGATCGGGGAAGCGTCTGGACTCCCTTGCATATCCCAACAGATAAGGCGTCGCGGGGGGTTGGTGTGATGCGTATTTTTTCTTAAAAAGAAAAAATAATAAATTCAAAAATCATAAATCGGAAATCAAAAATAAAAATAATCGGTTGATTTTAATTTTCAAGGGGAAAAAAAAATAATAAATAAAATATGCAGGCCCCACAACCAACAGGCAAGTAAGTAAAATGATCGCCAGACAAAAATACCGGTCGAGAATTCCTCAAACACAGAGAAGATTCCGTAATGCTGGCCAGTACCCAACTGACAAACTGCGAGTCAACCGCGACGATCAGGCGGAAGCGGCGTGCCGGCAGCTGTACGATGTATTATGTATGAAGAATCGACTGGTGAGGGTTGAAAGATGACCTGGTAAGTTGGACAGATAGGGCGACCCAAGCCTGACTGAATCATTGATCTGTTCATTGATTGATTGATTGGTTTGATTTGATTTATTTTCGTATCTTTGCTTTATTCAATTCCAGAATAATGAAGCATCCAGAATTGATCAGTCAAAGAAAATAAGTACCACCACCAAATCCTTTTGGACAAAGAGCTGCGCGAGTGTATGAGTGTGTGTGTGTGAGAGAGAGAGAGAGATTGATTCTAACAATCTGACAGCAGATCCCGGTCAGCGGACGTGGATCTATCGCTTTTCTTATTTGAATTTGTTTTTGTTCCAGTCCTCCGGTTGCATTTGACTAAATAAATAAATCAAATGTATTTTTCTTTCAGCATCGGCCCGCGGCCCGGGGAACATCGGGTTAGGGGACGTGGGGATCAAAAAAACCGTCAAAGAGTGAGTCAAACTGGGGGTGAAAGTTTCCTAAACTAATTTTATTATTTTATTGGTTTTATTATTTATTGATCTTTTTCGAGTATTATTACCCGTAAGTGTTACCCGACTAAGTAAGAATAAACCCGCGTACCCTCCATACCCTCGACGATTTCTCGGTACTTGATTTCTGGGCTTGGAATTATTTCGGAGGAATTCTTCACCGTCATCGTAATCCAATCCTTAATCATATGTCTCAGCGATGATGACTCGGATGACTCCGTATCAAGACCCCCAACTTTTTGCGGTACAGTGAGAAACAGCTGAAGGTGGTCAGACACCATTTTCTTTGATTACGCGATACAACACGATCAACTATCATTTATTTACCAACAGCCGCCGATAGAAGGATATATTTTGGGCTCTCGTGCATCTGAAACGGATTCTTGCGGTCTGCTGTCGAGACAGTTGTCCGTCCGTGCTCCGTCTCCAACCTGCGTAGAGAGGAGATAGTCGTAACATTATTGAACTGTCCTCCCCATCCCCAACCGAGTGGCGGATGGAGGAGAGTCGAATCAGATCGCGCATGAAAGCACACCGCTTCGATGTTTGACATCCTCGCGGTGAACGTGCATACATAATACTGCGGGCGGATGTATGTCGAGCTGTACCCTGTATGTCTATCTCGAGGGGGGATACAGCGGCAGTTACATCAACTGTCACCGCCTGTATCTAAACCATGCCCTAAACCTGTCCTGTTTCGACCAAGTGACATTTCTTTGCGATTTACAGAGTACAGCACACTCTCTCTCCCTCACACCGCGCATTGCAATCCATTTCCTTGAATCCTGATCCTTCTAGCGGTCTGAAATCGGGCAATCCCCGACCGATGGATTTTCATCAGTAACGATAGTAGCGACGATAGTTATTCAGTAGTACCTTAGTGGTAGCTCTAGCTGGGGGATGATTTTCCGCCTAGTCGTGTCGATTTCCGCCAGAAAAATCTAGTCGCCTCGTGCGGCCCAATGGAGTGGGAGCCTGGGAGGAAAAAATAATAAAAAAAGGAAAGAAAAACCAATGGCAACCTGACGGATTTCCTTCGAGATTTGTTCCAGAGTCCATGCGCGGTATCCGCGGTGGAGACTCGGTTTATTCTTTCTTTCTTCACTACCGTCCTTTCCTCTTACTCAATTTTTCATCTCGGGTTCTTCTTCCGATGTCGTGTTGTTGATGATGAACTGGCCAGCACGGATTGGATTTTGAATTCTACGGTGATGGGTGTCAAATCAGACCGACTAACTTTTGGGTCCTTTGACAGACAGGTTCAGAACCATGGAACGACCATGGAACGACCTCGTCGACTTTATTCCCCCACGAGAACCCCCTCGGAAGATCATTGACCCAGGAATTTCTGGATATTCCTTTAAACCGCTCGGAACTTCCCCGTGGCTTTCGACCAGATCGTCCACACTATCTATCAGCAGCGTAACACCGATCGTGGTTCTAGTCAGGAGTAGAAACAATCCCCTGGTCGCACAGCCGAGATTTCATCCGTGATTACTCGATCGGATAACTAGCTTGTGAAGGGTAGTTAAAACTACGGAGGAATAAACTACTCCTCCGTAATTCAGGATGATGCGGCCCTGCTCCACGTAACCCCAAGTTCCAACTTACAAGTCGTCGGCAACGGCCCCGATGTTCCGTAGCCAAAACGTTCCTCCGGATTTCGCCCAAGTTAGGGAAAGATGAGGCGGAGGATTTTCTCCCGTTTTTCTCCGCCAGTTACATGGCCTGAATTTTCACGTTCAAGAATGAAGCGACCGCGGATAAAATCTGAGCCTCACGGTGGCGACCGACCTTCGCGCCGGTCCTCCGATTCTACGGACGCATTTCAGCCGAGGCTAAATGGAGCTGAATGCGATAGTACTAGTTTCGCACTGAGGGATCAGGGGAAAGCTCGTGGTTAAATCAAGCCCTCGGTAATCGGGGAAATGTCGTGCGAGGCCCGGCCAACTGGATCGATCATATGGTGATCGTGATGGAAGCTCCAGCTACCAGAGCTTTGGGATAGAACCCCCTTTTCCCCCCTTTGACGATGTTGTTGCTGCCCAATTGGTGTGGGTTTGAATAGGTGTCTTAGGATTAAGCCTCTAATTTCGTCGGAGGGGATCCATCATATTCCTTAGAGGCCCTTCTTCAGCTCATGTTTGAGAAGGACCCAGCATACGTACCTCACAAATGGTGTGCATCAGGCTCCATCCACACATGTGCCGATAGATCTTTTTTCTACGATTTCAAATGTTTGACAAATTACTACACAGAACCATCAGTTCACAAAGTACGAACTACGGAGATGGCAGACCGAATCCCTCCGCAAGCCAGTTGACAGGTAAACCGGGTCTTTGTCCGCGAGAGCTTCCCCGGACCTTATTAAGTACGGTCGGTTGGTGCCTCGGCAAGCAAAAGGTCTCGAGTCTAGAACCGTCGTCCGCACCGCCTAATTTTAATCAGATACTATCAATCACGATCCATCAATAGTTCCAGCTAAAACGAACCTAATTATTATTAAACATCCCTACCCCCGGGGAACGCCTTTCCGCCTCCCGCGAAACGATCGAACCGGAAGGTCGGAATCCTTCCCCCCCACTTTCCCCCTAGGAAATATATATATCTGTTTGAAAAAGGAAATGGAAAATATAAATAAAATAAAATCATATCAAATAAAATAAAAATGGGTCACAAACGATCGCCGTCTCCTGAATAATGTATTATCCCTTTTAGGGAAATTGTAACCCAACTCGCCGGGTTCTCACTTCCCCTTCCTTTCCGCAAAAGTTACCAGGCCCGGTAAGGCGGAAAGAGGAGCCGGCGGTCCCAAGGGTGAGGAGAGTATGGGGATCCTTTCCCCTTTCATTCTTTCTTGCTGGGTCCCCGGCGACCTTTCCTCAGTTTCCGGGGGGTGGGTGTTAAACATTTCCGAGAAACAATTCCAATTTGGTTCCTCTCATTGGTCGATGAGGATCCATTAAACGGGCTTCCTGGTTTCCTTTTTTGTTTCGCAGTGGTTTACGATTTCAGCATTCATCAACACAACTGAGATGACGACTACCTGTCCATTCCTTCTGTATCCATCTGCAGAAAAGGGTCACAACAAACATAACATGCTGTGATGGATGTAGGTACAGCGACGTACCTTTGTACCTACACCCCCCGTATCACCGCCCATTCCCGAACGTTCAGACCCCCTACTAGTTACATCCGATCGCAGGATCGATCGAGCGATAGGTCGAATCTCATCCCATGATCCCGGGTCCAACCCTGCATTACCGCCCCGTCCGGCTGTTTCTGCAACTGCATCGACTATCCCAATTATCTATTATTATTAAATGTTTTACAGATTGAATAAAATGAATATTCCCCGACGACAGGAGTACCATGTTTGCCACAGCTGCCAAAGTACCATCCACCCCCGCGCAGGGATTCCCGGCTGGGCCACGACGCATCGAAAAGGGCGGTGATACACCGCCCTGATCGACTATTGGATACGACGTTGCCATGCGAGCAACAGGATGATATTGAAAGTTGAAGAACACGAGACCCCCGGAGTCAGCGTGGTCAAATGTCTTGCCGCTCAGTTACTCAGCGTGGATGACGAACGCTGGGGCAACATCCCCAGAGAATTCAGCCAGCACAGACATATGACCCGTATTTTGAATCATGGTCCCATTGACGATACCCCAGACCCAGGTGTCCGCCGGCAGGGATGGCCGAAAAAAAAAAAAAAAAAAAAGGTTCACAAAACATAAAAGATGGGCTACACAACCGCAGGCGAGGGAGAGCTGTGTGATCTTCACTCAATGAAGGACGTACAACATTCCCACGGCTTTATCCGGGGTTTAATCGCCACCCAGCACACGTCTTCATCCGTTACAACTATTCTGGGAAGGAGAATGGGCCCCAGCGCAAAAGCACGGAGCTTCTTGCACATTGCGGAATGCGGTCCGAGTCCGGGGGAAAGGTTTAAGCTGTTTTATGGAGTCGACTCCTTGCAGCCGATGGAGCTGGCGGATGGTCCTTTCCGCTTCCCCCGGGTTGGTTTTCCTGGTTCTCGGTTGTGAGCTTCGTGACAAGGGAGGGAAAAAAAAAAAGGACTTCTGAGTCCTGACGGACGCGTCGTCCATCGCTTCCCCGGCTGATCACTTGAGCTCTGCACGGGGTGACCCAAAGATACTTCGCTCTATCACAAAGTATAACCGCCACAAACGTACCCACTTAAGATATGTGGATTGTGGCGCCTTCTGCAAGCTGATGAATACAGTGCATAACTATTGCAGCTATCCCCATCTGGATATTATCTACCCAAACTTCAGGGTGGCCCTCATGCATTGCGACGGATAGGTCTATTTAGGATCTACATAACTCTCACATACCTTTTACTACCCCTCCCCCCCACTGTGGCTCAAGCTATGTGGCTAGTGCTTGTCTATCGTGTGGCTCAGCCCTCGATACAGTATGATTCATGTAAGCTCCACTAATTACAACGATCGGCACTGCAGAAAACAGGTTTCGCTGGGTCTGGCCCTTCGAGACCGAGAACAAAGCACGATGGCAGATCTATTTTGACAGCCACCGACGACAAAGATCAGTCGGTCAATCTCGATTCATGCTGTCAATCCTTGATGACCTCACTGGACAAGTCCCCGTTCCCTGAATATGAGACACAACATTCCACTGATCGCAAATAATATCCGATAAATATGCACACGGGATTGATGACGAGGGGGTCTATGAACACGGTGTAGCATACGAAAGAGCGTAGAGGGTGTAGTGTAATGTAGCATCCGCATTGTCTCCAACGAAGTGTCATCCACCACCTATCAAAACTAAATTGATAATCTGTACACAGTCGACTACAAACACCCGAAACCCTGATTTCCAACCCAACCATCAAAACGCCAGTAAGACAGATAAGACAGACATTCATTTCCAAGAAAAAACACATCCAACCCAACCTAAAACCAAGAATCCAAGAATCCAAGAAACCAACGAGCCTCACACGTCGCACAAGCATCCCCGCATCACACCCTCATTATACAGTATCATCTTATCATCTCCACAAATCCAACAAACCAGATCAAAAATAATATTCATAAAACTAATACCAAAGATTAAGAAAAATAAAAATAAATATAAAAATAAAAAAACAAAATAGAGTCCAAAGAAAAACCCACCCAACAAACAGCAAAGCACAGATGGCTATTGCTGACACTGCATAATCAATCAGCCTTGTAAACGGGTCCGCTGTCCTCGTGGTTAGTATATTGAACCGGACTGGACGCTTTGGCTTTTTCTTTGTAACTGATACTGAGTTTATTCTGGGTTTTTTTTGTATGAAACGTGATATGATAATCATAGCTACAATGTATCGCTTCTTGGATGGTTTTGGTTTTGGTTTTGGTTGTGTTTGTTACATGGAAGTTTCTCCTGTACTACACTGGACGTATAACTGTATGACTAATACTATAGTAGCATAGGTAGTTAAAGTTATAGCTATGTACATACTTGGGTTTAGATATTACATTATGAAGTTCAGTATACAATGTGCTGGTTCACGGGTCCTTCTCTTTCCAAGATATCATACTATAAATCAAGTATCTCAACCTATAGCTTCTCAACAACACGACCTCGAGGAATATCTCTTTCTACAATCGTCAAATCATTCCTTCGAAAGCACTTACAGCTCAGCTCACAGCAGACTCCCCAATCTCCCATTAACACAACCCGCCATCAAACCTGACCTCCACATTCCCCGCCTACATCTATCAAAGATCCTAACCATCCAGTGATTCCTTCCAGACAGTTAGATATCATAGCGACTCCACCAACTCGAAACCATATCTTATAAGGCTCCAGTCCATCTTCTACGTTACCTTGTGAAAGTTCTGGCTCCAATAGTACAGTGACTCTCCTCACCTAAGAATACAAGTCACCGGTACTCAATAAAAAATATCCCAGTAGCTCGCAGGGTAATACATCGATGAGGGTTGGCACGAAGGTCCTTTGTGATGTTATGGATACCACTGACAAGTGACCAGTATCCACATGAGTTAAGCCGACGTTGGTTTAGTAGATTGGTAAATTGATAAAAACAGCTGCAGGAATACGTAAATCAATAATATTGGAAAATAGAAGATAAAATACCATACCACCCCACGCACTCACTCACTCCCTTATCAAAATACAAAATCTAGAATCCGAAATAGAATAAAAGATAGCTAAAACAATCACCAAATCAAAACCAACCCAAACTACGTAATAATTAAAAATCAAGAAAAAAAAAATTCAAAAGAAAAGAAGAACCCACATCGGGCCGCCATGTAACCATTACCACCCAATAAACCCACTAACAAAAAAAAAAAACCAAACTACTCCGTAAACAAAGGGCAAATCTCCGAAACAAGATGTCTCATCTCCACCAAGGAAGCATTCTAGAACGGACGGCCCCTCTTGTTTTCCCTGACATAAGCGATAAGGCGATATTATGGGGCCATTTGGCTATTTTGCGGCTGTGTTCGGTTTGGGTGCGCTAAGGTGAGGTGAGATTGAGGGGTTACATTTGGGAGTTCCTTATCGTAGTGGGGATGTGATGGGATGGGGTGGTGGTGTTTGTCTCGGGTTGATTAGGAGTTTGGGGTTTTTTCTAGGAGGTTTTTATACATGGGTTTGTTGGGTGTGGCTTACGGACTTATGGTGGTTTTTACTTGGTTTTGGTGCTACTGTGTATTAGTTTGTTAGGGTGAAGGCTGTGTTTGGGTTGGGTTTTCGTTAGTGTATCAGTTTCGTCTCGTTTTGTTAGTATCTGGGATGTAGGATATAAGATTCAGAGTTGGATTCTATTTGTTCTCTACGGGTTAGCGGTTTGCTCAGGAACAAGTTGGACATTGTTGGTATGACTTGTGGTAGGACAAGGGCTTTGGTCTCCTGTTCTCTGTGTTCGTGTTTCACCAGCTAATGGCTTTATGATGATCTTTGTCCTGCTCAAGTGCTTATGCTTGGTATCGTGTAGATTAATTGTTGCTGTTTTAGGTATGTTGGTTGGTTGGTTATACTGGTTAAACTGTGGCTAAAGTACAGGGTTGGATGCACCTTCAGTGTCATAGCTGGGGTGTGAAAGGTGCTTGGTTCTATATTTATCGATATTTGGGGACAATAAAGGTAAGGAATTCTTTGCGAATCAAACATGTTTATATATGTGTATAGTCATGAGTAGTTAGTAGATTCATGTTGTAGATTATACAGAAGATGCTCATAGATATATATATCTTGCCCATTTAATGACAACTGCAAAACACAGAACAGGTTGTTGAGGTCTACACGGTTAGAATTCCGATGGATTTTATTAAGAGCTAGGAATTCATTTGTTTCGGACTGCTTTAAAGAAATACTTATACCATAAGAATAAAAAACGAAGTCTTCCACGAAGGAAGTGTGGGTAAAAAAGAATGACCGACGCAGGGATCGAACCTGCGATCTCTCGCGATCATGATGTAAAGCGAGCGCCTTAACCACTGGGCTAGTCGGCCAATTGATGATGAGTTATCTAATTTTAAAAATTGAAACTCTTAAAATCTAGCATTTTTAGAAGCATCCAAGAAGCAAATGTGACTATATGTAGTCGGTCTAGTCTTTGCCCTTATATCAGATGACTAAAAGGGAAAGACTAGCAAGACAGAGACAAGTACATTGCGGTGAGTACACAGATAATACGAGCTTCCGTAGAGCCCTGTGAGAATCACCAGTATCACGTGACCCTAAACTCTATTAATAAGCACAAAACACATCTTGATACTGTATATAACTAACTGTAATTTACTTTCCTACTCACTTTCTTTCTACTTCGCAATATCTTTTAAAACATCTAAGCAGTTACGAAGTAATTTTCAAGCAGTTTTTGACACACCCAACTTTTATTTTATTATTTTCTTTATTTTTTCCCATGATGGAGTCCAGCAATTCTCACATAGATGTGGGTGGACCTGGTTCGCATCCTGAAAGAAACCAAGGTATTGGGAAAACGGTAACTAACCACTTCGCAAGCAGTTTTTAATTGGTTGCTAAGTACTTCATACTACCCAACAGGAACCAGCTCTTCCCATTCCACTCACATCTGCCAAACACCGTCACCTTGAGACGCTCGAAGTTGAATATGTAGATGATTTACCAGAGTATCCAAAAAGCCATATTCATGGATATGCATATGTTGTTTCTGCAAGAGGACGATCACAAACTGAAATGGAGCAAGTTGCCCAGGAGGTAAATACTAAGTGATGCATAAGTTAAACCAGTTCACTACTAAGCCATTCTAGATTCAATATACAAAACACCTGACTCAGGGGCAAAAAGGACCAGTGTATTCCCCATTTCTCGTGTGCCATGTCAGAAAATGGACCTGGAAATGCTCGGGGATCTATGCGTGTGAATTTTTGAATCCTTTGCTTAGATCGCTTCATCATACCTCTGTGGACGAAAGTATATGGCAAGAAATTCAAGAAGCTCAGAGGGAGACTCAGATCTTAGAAACTGATCTTGGCAAACGAAATGCCTACAGGTATTTATAAAACCATCAACTACTTATCAACTAATTACTAACTACTTATAGTTACTATCGGTCGAAAATGAATCTCTTCAGGAGAGGTCATGCCTGCGTCGACCACCTTCCTACATGTAAGCCGGTTTTCAAGAGATATAGTCAAACGGTAAGCCTTGAGCGCTCTATAAGTGGCTTTAAGTACTCTCTAACCGCTCTAGAATCCGCATGGCGAATCTACATCCTATATTGGCTGTATAAATGAATCCTCTGATGTTGTAACCAAGCATCATAGGGAAGCGATACAAGCTCATATAGTTATCGACCTACAGTTTCTTGAAGATCTTGTCAATAAAGAGGTCCTACCAGCAACTGAACATTGTGGTGTTTTTCAGCCTCTATCATCCCGGCGAAAACATTGTGGTAGGTGACTTGTCAAGAGTTTAATAACCTATTACTAACTACATGAAAGGTCGAGATCATCACCAAGGACCAGGCCTATTAAAGCGTACACCCTGTGATGTCATTTTTACTGGGCTAGTTCCAGTGGATATCAATCAACGTCCATATATCGTATTTACATCGCATGGTGTGCATAAACATCCACCACCGCCTCGTCGAGAAAGTAAGTGCCTTGGGTCATTATCGATCTAATTAATAAATAATTATTAACTGGATTATTTATATAGACAGTCGCAAACGCCAACGATCCTCTTCATCTAGTATCTCTGAAACCCAACCCGCTTTACCACAACCCCCGTTGTCTCAAAGAAGTGCAAAATCTGCCTCCCGATCTGCTTCACAGAATGGTGATAACGAGTATGTCTCCATGTGCTTAAGGTAATACTTACTAATCAGTTAGGTCCTCAAGGTCCTCTCAGTATCATCGCGATGATGCGTCAACAAATGCTTTGACTTTAGAACAGAGACGTCAAGAGCTTGAGCTTCGAAAGCTTGAAGCAGATGTTAAACAAAAGGAGGCAGAAGTCAAACAACGAGAAATGGATCTCAGAAAGCAAGAGGAAGAAATACTTTCAATGGAGCTTGCGAATGAGAAGTTAGAGCTTGAGCTTATAGAGCGGCGGATTCAACTTCAAGAACGTCACCAAATTAGTTTACATTAAGTGGTTAAAGAGTTGCTAAATAGTATTTATAATACGAACGAAAAAGAAATATTAATTATATATTAATACTAAAGTATTACACTGAATAAACACATGTAAATTAGTTCTCTGCTTAAAACTGCTTATAGTTAGCTGTTTACTATTGAATACATGTCCACTAAGGTATTCCCTACTCGCTCGACTTGAAAAGACGACCCCAACTCATCTACAACCACCATCAAGGCTGATACTAAAAGCTTCTTCATCCTGTTGCTGTTATTTTTAACCGATTGATTTTGGACCCCATATTGCGTATGCAAGGTGAGATGGCGGGGGTGGGGGTAGATATTAGACTAACAGTTAGATCACTAATATTCAGCCAGGCCTGCAGATTATCATTATTTTACCTATTAGAAGGATCGACTGGAGGTCATCTGAGTGGGGGTATCGCTTTAGTTTGATCATCGTCACGCATATCTCAGATGCATAGTATTGGAAATGCACATCGGCACGTGGGCGCTTTACTGGAGGGATGGAGAGTGGCTTAGCTTCTAGTTCAATAGTATCTGTACGGGGACACGAATAATACCTCCGATTACGTCTCCCCAGGTAATAGTTTACATTACTATCAAGGTAATAGGAGCAAGGTGAATCGCATATATCGGTTAATTCATTTATCCAGCTACTTACCCTGTACCGGCTGACCGGTCTAGCCCTTCTAGAACGATCACCTGGACTTACCCGTCGGTTAATTAGGCTGAAGTTGCTTCACATTTTCTGCTAAATGTTTCATCTATAACATTGCGTTCGCTATCATGTAGATTCGGCGGTGTAGGAAGTTCTATGCATCGGATTTTGCGTTAGTGCATTCATTGCTTTACGAATCCTTCTCTTTATCATCGCCTTTTCATCAAATGTACACGAAACTTTCCCCGTGTTTCCCGCAGCAGCGTCAGTTCTGAGTTGAATATATGCTTCTTCAACGCGCTGAATAGTGATGTTATGACGGCAGAATTTCTTATACTACTAATTACTCCGACAATCCTATATAATTCTGCTGAATCGTAGCCTCCCACGGAGAGTAATGGCGCACCGGAACCATACCATCGCTTCTAAGGTCTCTGTAACAAACCACTCCAAGATAAAAAGAATAGAAAAAGGTAATGGGGATTCCCTGACACGCATATGTTCATGCCCATAGTCATATTTTATCCCACCGTCCTGAAGCCAATAACCTCAAGGATGTTGACCTTATGCTTAAATGTGATCGACACAGTTCTACAGATTAAACCAAACCATTATCACATCTAAGCGCATACTAACTGGAGACTGGTACGGGTCTGTGTAGGTCGTAGTGGCCGGTTTTCCGATAGTTGCATCTTCTGGCGAGAATGGATCCTTCGATTAGAAGCTCCTCAACGGCCCCAATAGGGAGGAACCGGTTATGATCCTCTGGGTCAACTACCCAGGCTACGCAACCATGAGGAGTACCGACCTTCTCGCGGTCATTTTGGCCTTGAACCTGATGTGTTATGCAGGATACGGAACACTCTGATGGGCCATACCCACTGGTCAGGATGACACGGTCCTTCCACAAGGAAATTGCCTCTGCTGTGATGGATTCACCCGTCAAGGTTTAGAAACGCAAGGAGAGTACATCTTCAGGGCGAATCGCTCGTACCAAGGATGGTATAAGACAGGCCCGGTTTGGTGACAGTGTTTGAAAAAAATCCATGGGATGGCATTGATGTGGTCCGCTGTTGATGGCGTGCAAACGGTTCCCCCCCGCGACCAGGGTGCCCAGGATCTCAGTGATACACGCGTCAAACGCGTACGATGCAAATTGCAGAGCTCTGGTCTGCTCGCTGGCATGGAAGGGGCAGGAATGATGGTGAAGGCTGGAACAGATGGCTTGATGTTCCATCATCCCCTTTAGATTTCCCGGTAGATCCGGATGTGAAGACTACATAGGGTAGGTTATCCGGGGAGACTGTATCGACCAGCTTTCTTGGGACTGATAAATCATCTAGGATATCCTGGTCCACGACCAAGTGTGGGAGGTCTTCCCACATACGTTGGTTTTGCCGAGAAGTGAGAATAATAGGGGCTGCTGTTTGTGACACCATTTCTCGCTGGCGTTCCTGCGGGTGCTCGCAATCTAGAGCCACAAAGGCGGCACCAGCCTTGAGCACAGCTAACATGGAGATGATGGCCCAAGACCTTTTCTCAAAACAAATAGGGATAAGCATATCTGGATAAATTGGAAACACAGCTAGAGCCTGGATACGGGTTGCGAGACGGTCTGTTGCTTGCCACAGATCATGGTATGTGAACGAACCATCCTAACTATAGAGAGCTTCCTTCTGAGGATGTTGCATAACCGGCCGTTCGACAAGTGCATGGATGGTCGCTTTCTCGATGGGTGCGTAACTTGCATTCCAATCCAGCAGCTGGTCCATATCACTCTGGCTCACAGCAGGGATTGCAGATGGCTTCTGATCCGTATTCGCGGCTCCTAGATGACGTGTAGCAAGCTCCCACTGACCCAGGAGCGTCAGCACCTGTGCCTCAGGAATCATGTTTGGGTCAAAGTGGGCGGTAATGCCTATTGACCCATCTAGACAAAGACTAGCGTAGAGTACAATGCTGTATCCATAAATATGTTCAACGGATAGGTCGTGACGCTCGTTTGCAAACAATTCAGGCCTCTCAGGTTGTGGTGGCTGGATAATCAGCACACACTGCATTTTGCAAGCGTTTTGAGCCCCCGGATTGAGGTGTTGAAGTCTCTGCATACCGATCGCTTGAAACTTCGTTGCATTTGCCACGGAACGCTGCACATCCAAAAGAAACTCCGAGGCAGTTTTCGTGCCATCGACAAACAGTCGCAATGGGACTGTATTTAATGTCGGTGCAGCAATGTCATCGATACCTTGCACCGGTAGATGTCTGCCATTTAGCACGGCACCAAACACAACGTCTGTTGATTCGACGTAGTAGGAATATGTCATTGCCCATGCTGCTTGAAGAATGACAGACTGTCTCGCAATTGCAGGTCGTTTTTGGAGATTGAAATGGCGTCTAATACTCTTTTCTGCGTAGGGGCAATAGTGATGCTTAGGTACGGTAGGATATGTGTCTGTGGTAAAATCCCCCAGCGTTTCTTCCCAGTATAATTGAGCCTGGTTCATTACACTAGTCGCATATTCAACGAAGGTAACGAAAGACGCGTGAGGTTTCAAAGATATACCATTATATGCCTGCTGGACGTCATTCAAGATCATATCGAAGCTGTATCCATCGTAAAGACTATGGTGTACCGTCCAGATGAAGTACGCTGGACTCTGGCTGCGAGCGGGCACAATAGAAAACCAAGTCAGATTTTCTTCAAGAGAAGCATGAAGTGCTCTATGGGACTCGACGGCTTCCTCCAGACTTGGAAAGTATCGCCATCCGGGAAGCCCCTTCAGGACAACTTGGGTGAATGACTGTCGTCGTCCTGTCGCTATAATTCGGGTCCGAAGGATTGGGTTTAGCTTAAAAACCAATTCCCATGCGTTTTGGAAACGCTGGATGTTAACCTTCTCACACAACTGGAAGACATAATGGCCGTTGTATGCAAATGGTTGTAAGGATGCCAACGCCATGAGTCCTTCCTGAAATGGTGTACATGGATATATGTTTTCGACCAGGTTGCTGTCAATGCCACATTTGTGTGCTGCTTCTTCTCGCACCAGTGTGGATTGGAAACCTGACAGCCGCCTCTCTCTAACCATAGCGACCTGGGTCGCTGGATCATAATGACGCACATTAGCTACCATTTCGCACAGCTTGGGTTCGAGAAATAGGTCGTGGAAGGTGAGTTCCAAGTGATGTTTATGTAGTTCGCGCACCAACTTGATCGCTGACATCGAGTCACCAAATTGAAAGAAAATATCGTTCATGCTGAAAGTAAACTCTGGAATATGCAGGATGGAGGACCATGCCTTTCGCACTATATGCTCTGTTGGACTAATTTGTGTGCTATCATCGAGCTTCTTCTCTGGCACACGCTTGTCGAGGCATTCCGTTGCCAACCTTTGCAGGCTCATGCGGTCGATTTTCCCCGAGGCAGATAATGGAACATGTGACAGGGCTATAAATATGTGTGGAACCATGTATGGGGGTAGGTGCCGCCGTACATATTCTGCTAGATGGTCTATAGCCTGGAGATATCGATTCTCCGTCAATATCAGGGTGTCATTAGTAGCCTCTCGGAATGAGACGAAGGCCACCAACACTTGGCCTCTCGCGACCCCGGGCCGCATGATACAGTCTACTACGACATCAGTGGAGTCGCACTGCTGGGAAATGCAGTTTTCAATTTCTCCTAGTTCCACACGTTGTCCGTTTATCTTTATCTGCTTGTCTCGCCGTCCAAGGTAGTCTATTGTTCCATCGGCAGTATAGCGAGCAGTATCGCCAGTCCTGTAGAAGCGTTGAGAACCATCACTCCCCCATGCATGGCTCTTCACGAACGCTTGACCGGTGGTGATGGTGTCATTGAGGTATCCACGAGCTAGAATTGGTCCCTGTATAAGAAGCTCTCCGACAGCTCCAACAGGACATAGTTTGCGATAATCCTCAGGGTCTGCAATGTACGCCTTGCAACCAATTGGGCGGCCAATATTTGAGACCATGGCACCTTCTAAAGAGATATCGCCAGACAGCGAGAAGATAGTGCATTCCGTAGGCCCATACGCATTGATAACTCGACGATTGTTCACCCATCCTTTGATAGAATGAGGGGTGACCGTCTCCCCTCCCAGAAGCAAGGTACGAACTCCAGGGACCTCAGTTGGCTCAAGTGCAGTTGCATATGACGGAGTAAGAAATGCCCAATTGGCGCCTAGCTCATTTATTACTAATGCCGGTGTCTGTAAGCGGGCATCGTCATCCGGCATGCAGATACATCCGCCATGGTATAAAGTACCGAGTATCTCTGTGATGGAGGGATCGAAAGTGAACGGAGTATTCTGATAAACGCGAGAAGAGCTGCTAAGCCCGAAGACACTACCCTGTTTCTGGAGACCATGTGCGAGGGCCCTGTGATCGACAACCACACCTTTGGGCTTCCCCGTACTACCGGACGTGAACATACAGTATGCTGCGCTATCCAAGCATGGCCCATTAGGCTCGGGACTCCCAGCCCTTACGTTCGCAACGGCGTTGTGACAGACAGGCACCCAGGCCAGCTTTCTCTGGAAGCGGTTTCGCAGGTTGGCTAGAGGGCCGTGAGATAATTGTCGCTCGGATCCAAGGATGACTGTTGCGTTGACTTGATAAATTATGCCCTCGAGTCGATCAACCGGGGAATTAGGATCTAGGGGCACAAAGGCGCCTCCAGCTTTGTGGACTGCCAACATGGCAACAACTGCCCATGGCGACTTTTCGAAGCAAAGCGGCACGAATGTCTCCGACACTATTCCACACTTGACCAGCTCACGCGCCACTATCGTAGAGTATTGATCAAGTGTTCCGTACGTCCAAGTCCCCTGTGACGAACATATAGCGACAGATGTCATCGGATGGCATGATAGTACTTCAGGTACACATTCGTTTATCGAGGAAGGTGCTCCCCGATTCCAGGCCTCTATCTGGTGAATACTTTTGGGCCCCGCCAGATTCACCTGGTTGACTTTTGTCGCAGTGTTGTTGCCTATACATGCTGCGGATTGTAGATATGCTTCTGTAATATACGGGACGAGGCGACTGAATGCATGATTCTTCGTATAATGAATTGTGATGGAAAGAGACTTTTCAGTGCAGATAGGCACCACTATCATATCATACTAACACCCATCAGCTAATGGCAAATTCAACAAGAGGGGTTGTTGTGAGTTGGAAGTCGGCTTACAATCAGTTTTTCAGCCCCTAACTGTATATTGATGCTTGCGGCAGGAGTATCAAGCCAGAGAAGAGTATTTGCAGTTTGTGAGTCACATTCAATTTGTTGGCAGGTAGAATGTTTGATAGCAGCAGCTAAGCTGTCATTCTCAGTTAAGATAAATCCGCAAATCATCGGATTTCGCGCCGATGATAATTTGCTAAGGTTCCGATAGGCGAACGCGACGTTATCCGAGCCCGTGTATGCCCGGAGAACCAGAGCCCAGGCTAGCTTCTTTATATCCTCATTGAGCTGTGCCACGGGATGATCAAAGGTGTCCGTGTAGGTCCCCCAACCTGCATCACCTTCTAATAGCTGAGACTTGGCCATGGTATCAAGGGAAGAACGAGGCTGGATGCGCACTCCTTAAGTCGGGGAGCGTAATGTAAAATGTGAAATGAAATGCGATTTGCGTTCGAAGCGGTGTTCATCTCTACGAGCCGCACCCAATGCCATTTGTGGGTAACAGACTATAGGATTATATTGTCGGTCTGAACCGGGCTTGTGCCTGTGATTACTCAACCCTTACAATAGGTTGTAGCTGGATAGATGAATCCGTGTGAGCCCTAGGTAGCATCGCAGGCCGATAGAGTTCGGAGCTCGGAATGGATTCACTGCAACAATACCTCGCCCGGCGTCATTATTCCTTACCACAGGAAGTAATAAACGCCACCGCAGGACCCCATAAAGATACACAAAAGACTGGCTATTTGTTCTATTTTAGGTTTCATCCGATTAGTAGAGGCCAGTGTCCTAGTCGACTGCGGGTATGAGTAAGTGCACCCCGATATGATATAGTATAGTTCAATAAGTTGAATTATGGAGTTATTTGCCAGATAGAAGCCTACTTCTTATCGTTGTCTAGATGTGTCGAAAATACGACTTAACCAACAATCTCTGCAGTTGCCATCCCATGGAAGTCTATTGAGCGGCTTACCTCAAGACTACTAAGTCATCAGTAGCCCAGGACACGTTCTATTTACGGATGAGTCACTTCTTCCGCGAGGGTGACAGTACCTTTGCCGAAATAGGAACTACAGGTCATAGGTGTCGAGAGTTCATCCTCCCTACGAATGCTGTTTGTCTGAAACCAGTAACATGACTTTCGATAGGTTATATGTTGCCTACAGCTCAGGACGCTGCCATGGCCGAGAGGGTCCACCGTACCAAAGGACACACGATTTCCAAACAAACTATCGTTTTTGAAGGTGATGGCAGCCTCCAGATGATTGTTCAGGAAGTTAGCACCATCATCAGGCACAAACTAGACACCACGTAGTCTTGATCAACACTGGGAGATACACGATTGAACGTATGATCCACGGAAAGGATGCGTCTTATAATGATGTAGTAAATTGGAAATACTTGTCAGCTGGGTATTTTTTTTTTTGGTGCAGATAACAAAGCTTCGGGCAAAGTTTGCAACTGGACAATTTCCACATAGGGTGAGCTTGAAGCAGCGCTTGTGCATCCAGATTTGAAAGATGGGACAGGGCTTCGAATGGTGGAGGTCAAGAGGGCCAGGGATGATGCACAAAAGGTATTGAATATACCCACTGCATGAGAGTAATGGGAAAAGCTCGAACAGTGAACAACGGCCTGACGCGATGATTTATGTTGTAGTGGGGATGCCGGGAATGGTTCAAATAAAACAGATTTCTCCCGTCATATATAATGTACGAAGATCCGTTGAAATAGCTTTGTGGTTATTTGCAAATAACGATGATCTCACATCATAGCGTAGGCAAAGTTGTAGACTCATAATTATGTGGCTCTGACAGGATGACTTTGGGATCAGCCGCTTGAGCCAGGGAGGCATTGATTTTTTGCTGAGCTTCTTGGCAGTCATTGTAGTGTGCATCGTTGGGTCGGACTACCGTTCGGATACAGGAAAAGAATGTGTTTAATTCTGAAATCACTGTTCCTTGGGCAAATGAATTTGATATGCTCGTGGCTTGGCTTACTTGCTCGGAATGAGGTTGGAGAAGTGAAGCCAAAATCTCTGCGCTTGGAAGTCCGTATAAAACAAGCTAAATATGAGGAACGTTCATTAATAACTTGTCCTTTACGTGCAGGTGGCCTACAATGAGCGGGTCAAGCATAAAAAAAGACATCTGCAACTCACTCTCCACGTGTAATCGGAACGATATTCTTTTAGGTGACCCAAGGATTGCATTCCGCATATCATTGTCTCGAGAATCTTTCGACACAACCCCCCGAGAGTGTGGGTCTGTGCGGGTGGCAGATGCTGCATGATGTATGATTGTGTGTATAAGTATTCCAAATAGACTATTAGTAAGATATATCCTTGATGTGGGAACCTCTCCATTTGCCAATTCTCTGGCTGTATATCGCTAGAAACCTTTAACAATTGCCACACGTCTTCTAGCAATCTGGACATATTCCTAAAAACATTAGTCCACACACGCATGCTGTGAAACAGCCACGAGACATACTGAGGTGCAGAGCATTCGGGGCTGTCATTCAATGTCGACCTCGCAACCTGGACGTCTTCGCGTACTATACTCATGGAAAAACTGACCTTTTCTACAAGCGATACCGGGGAAGACAGAGCCTGACTCAGCCTAGTCGAGATATAGAGGTTGATCCAGTCCACAGCTGGGAAGGACAAACTAATGTTGTCTAACTCCATGCAGTTTTGCCTTGGAATTCGTGGTGGTCGTTTCATTAGCGTTGTTATGGCTTTGTCCAGTGTATAAGCTGTCAGGAACAATTGTTGGCGGATATGCATCGCTGTGATGACCTGGTTTCTAAAGGACGGTTTGTGCAGCCCAATGGTAAATAGTGCGTTTCCAATATCCCCTAACCTCCGCCAAACACGTCGATCTATCGGATTTTGAGCTATTGTATTAGCATCAAATGTCCCAATTATATCGATTTTGCTCACCCACTTTTGCCACCGTAGATTCTAATCAGCAATATGATGTCTTGGATAAGAAGCCATAAATAAAGTTCAGTTTTGGTACCGGTCATTTCTTGGAACCGTATACATGTGTTGACAGCGTGAGTCAGGTCTTTTAGGATCGTCACCCTTGCCCGTGAGTCTGTCTGTGATGCACCACCATTGGAATCGGATAAGTCATGCCTTATAGTTAGGGAGAGAGCGACAGTGGCATATATAATACCAATTACGTCCCACCGCAGGCAATCCTGATCACCTAGACCTTGCTGGATGTGGAAGTGGGAACTGAAACCGTCGGCCAGCCACCCCGGAGAGACCGTGGAGTTATGAAATACGCTGTCCACAGTTTCAAACCCCCGAGTGTTCACTTGTGCGAAGAATGTATCAGACTGCGACTGTGTCAAGTAGGAGAGGAAGGAATAGACGAGTTGTTTCATGAGGAAGCCGGGGGCATCCGGTGGGAGAGAGTCTAGGAGCTGTTGGAATGAGGCAGAGCTTTTGATGTAGAACAGAACCTGATAGGCAGCGGAGATTGTTTCCATTTCATCAGGCGATTGGCACGTAGTATGTGACATAGGGGCACCGCTGGCTCGGGAAGCATTGCCGACAGAATGGCGTCCTGGTTGCCGGGGCTCCATTAGAGGTTCCTTGTAAGTCACAGCGCCGATGCGAGGTTGACGACAATTAATGGGGAACATGGTGCATCAATAATAAATCAACTGTCTGCATTTTAACCAAGTTCTTCAGCGCAGGCAAACATGCTTCTGAGACAGCAGCCACATTCGCTCCATGTCAGTGGCCCCTTGTCATGTCTCAATTGCCGATCTCTCTGGCATGGGCTTTAGGATGTCGCCGGCACCAGCCCCTTGGAAGCAAGGTGCGGCACACTGTGGACATTCCTAAACCTTGCAGAAGCACGTACTTGAAAAGTTTCACTTCACCGTGGTACTACCAGCCATGGTTGTCCGTCGCAAAAAAGCAATAACCTCTCTGTCTAGACCACCGGTCATACTGTAATCCTACTACGTCTATGATGGTTCAGCCAGCCACAATGCAGTCATGATTGTGTCTCATAAGTACGCCTTAGCTTGCTTACGAGGCATTACACCGTATGTTAAACTATCGTTATCGTTGAGCTGGCTGGCTGAGGAACGAAAGCTCATATTTAAATTCTTGTAATGCGACCGTCGCATTCTGATCCGGACCGCAAGCCAAGCGAGTGCCCACCCTAGAGCTGGCAAATGAATTCCGAATTTCCGTTAAATTAGACACCTGGTAAAACTTCCATTTCCTAGATATACCATATCTAAATACAAAACATATGTGGCCTTTCCTCTTTTTGATTTTTTTTACATTTATTATAATATGTAGTTTGAAAAGTCAGGTCTTGGCAGGCATAGAAGAAGATATTCTATAAGCTGATGGAAGGAATTATTTATTAGTCTTTCACTATCCGCGGGCCGCAAGTTTACGCACCGCTGGGATCCGAAACCCTAATTGAACATTGGCTGGAAACGGCCTGCGTGTTTGGTTCAAGAAACATGACAACCGAAGTAAGACCCACGAACGGACCATAGCTGGTGTTGGTACTCACCTAATGACCGTTCCCAACAATCGGTGTCAAACTGTCATGCATTCAAGCACGCTGCTGCAAGTGGATACCCGTCATAGTGAATGTCCGTCTTCCGATTGCGGAAATCTGATTGCACAGGAAACTTTATCCATGTATCCAGGCCGTTAACACAACTCCCTTCTTCGCTTCCCTTGGGATCTACAGCACCTAAAACCCAACCTTCTTATTGTGACCCCGTCAAAGGAACAACTTACTACGGGGTCAACACAAAATGCTCCGTCGCAATGGCAAGAAAAGCTCCTGCGAGCCTTGTCGGAAGTCGAAGATCAAATGTGACCATGAGTTCCCCATATGTCAAAGATGTCAATATCGTGGCATGACTACAAGTTGTGTTTATCATCCAGCGCCAATGACTCGGCCAAATTCTCTGCAGCATCGTCGTCCTCAGGACCTTCAAAGACTGTCGCAGCTCATTCCGTCCCCTACACCTGGTAGGGACAGTATCACTGAAGATGTGTACGTGTTTTTCATTCTTCCTCTTCCTTTGGGTTAGATGATTGGCTTTGGACGTTTGATGGGGATGGAGGTTATGGCATACCTATACCACGGAGACCGACTGGCTGGTAAAGTAGTGCTGATAGAAAAGAGGGGTGACCTAGCCGGCAATGGATCGACTTGTAGGAAGGAGGTCTTAGCAACTATGATGGCCACGTATAAATCTTATGGGGAGTGAATACTGACTTCGTTTCTTAGACAAGTCTATCAAGGAACCTTGGACACCCAGCCTATGGGCACAAATGGGCCCAATTCCCCGTTGTTCTCACCCACCATTCCTGATATATGCCATGCAGACATCCAACAAGGGTCTACGCTCTTAAAACGTCTTAATGATATCTCAACCCTCGCGCAACTTGCTGAACGGTACATCCGATTGCAGAGCCATATGATTCCAATCCCAAATTTTATAGCACAAGCGACCATCGCGTCTATAGAAGGGGATCCCTCAATCGAAAAAATGAGCACCAGAGATCAATTAGCAAATTCAATTTTGATCACCGGAAATACCTGCCGCGAACTGGAGCTGAAGGTATATATCTCGCCCAATAATTTCTGCAAAACGTTCACGGGGCCTGCATTACGCTGGGAAGCGTTGGGGCTACTATTTACATGGGCCGCACTTGCTCTGTTACACTTACCATTGGGTGATAGGCTTGCCGAAAAGTTCATTGCATCTCAGGGAACTAATAAGGCGTCGTGTATTTCCACAATGGTGTACTGCAGTAATTTATGCATCTCACTGTGTAAAGAATATGCACCTCCAAATGAGGTTCTCCTATGGCTGTTGCACGAAAGTTTGACCCTCACAGCACAATTCTACGGCGATTGCAGTAAGCCCTCCTTGACCACACCCATCAACCCATCAACCCATGATAATCGCACTGAAGGCGTCATGACACTCCTACAACAAGCTTATCGTTCTAGGTCATCTGACATGGCAGCGCCTGGGCGACTTGGCCACTGAAGCCCTAGACCCAACTCCAGTCAAGTCTGGTGCAGAAAGCCCCGCGGTTTCAGTTCTCCTTTCCCAATCGCGAAGGAAGATTCTAGCTTCTGCGTACTGGATAGACAAAAGTTTGGCGAGCTTACACACTCAAGTCCCGCGCATTCCTTGCCTCCCGCAAGATTTTGAAACCCCGCTTGATATCGATGACGATGAGCTTCTTTCGAAGAGCTTTTCTCACTCGGAATTACTACATTCGCATAGCAGTGGTTGGAATCAATCGGGGCATATCTGCCCAGCTACATATATCCGCACTAGATATATCTTAGGTGGGCTTCGAGATGAGCTACTTCAACTGTCCCTCACAGCGTCTGCTGTCAATAGACTTCTAAAGTTAAAGTACGTTATTGATTCATTCTATTCATGGTTCGCTATGTTTTACTTATGATTTTCTAGACACCTATCTCGACGCTATAGGGCAGCCTGGCTGGAGATGCCGAAAAAGCTTCATTACAGAGACACCGACCAGGTCCAGACGATACCCTACATGACCTCTTTCCCACAACTACTACTCTTCTTGGATTACCTTCAGGGTGAATATCTTATTTATAAAGAGTTCACCGGAATTGTTGAAAGCACGAGACCTCAGCTTCTCTGGCACTGCAAAAGGACCCTCAATATCGTCATCAGTCTATTTGCCTCCCCTAAGATGAGAACGGAGACTAGTCTGCTGGATCGTATCCGCGTTGTGAGTTTTTTTTTTCCGTCTGTCACCTGGACCAATGACTATAGCCTTTCAAGACTAAGACCTGCTTCATCTGTCAGGGAGTATTATACGGTGTCCCATGTGCCGAGTACCTTATCCTCACCCTGAAGGGGTATGACGGAACCAATGAATTACAGGATCATTCACCATCTCCACTGGAGCTTATACGCAATATCAGTGCTCTCATCAGCTACCTGGACCAAGAGTGCCATGCTGATGATCAGCTTGACCTTTCCTACATCAACACATATAGAAATCTGGAGTGCGCTCTTAATGATGTTCTTGATTTGAAACAGATATACGCTCTTGGATGCGGTTCCGGTACTAGTTCCTCGACCATTTCCCCTGGCTCTGAGATACTGGGGAACAACAACAGCATTGGAGGTGAATTAATTGATTGGACGAATGAAATTGAGTGGATGAGACAATGGAGTGTGTAGGTATAAAGTAGGTCTCACTGGGGTGCAGACGCTAGGAGGGGGCACCTTCGCATACTCTGGTCTGGCTGAAGGGTTGGTCCAATACTATTTAGTGGAAGGAAGCACAAGCCGGGTCATTTCTTTGGTTGTGATTTCTGAAGCAGTTGTAGCTGTTTCAGTAAGGTAGATTTCAAAAGGGTATGCGTTGTGTTTTGTAGTTTATCAAAAGGCATGCAAAATGGGTGATGTTCTGAACTGCCTGTAACTAGTTAATATCATCTGGGTCTAAATGGTACTAAACAACTGTAAGATCGCTCATTCCCCTAGGGCATCTAGTAGAGCAAATACCTTTAGACCAAATAGATTCACTATATATAGCACTGCAACTACATTATAGAAGAAGAGTAGACAGTCACTTAAAGTATTTATTATTTTTGCTCTAGTACACTTTTTCACAACACGCTCACAACATGCATTTGAATAGACGGCCCCACAAAGTGAATAAACAAAAGCAAGAGATGAAGACGCTTAGTGAAAAATGCAGCTTTTCTTTTTCAGTTTACCCCCACTAAGAAATTTAAATATAGGAACATAAAAGAGAATGAGAGAAAGAAAGATGCGATATTCGCCCCATGAACAATCGAGGAATTACAGCCTGAGGTACACTCTGATTTATTCCGATATCAATGACGCAGTTCCATGCTCACCCTTTACCCTTAGGTTACATTGAACTCCGAATGGGCCTCGGATTAAGGTTGTCGGAAGCAGAAGTCAAAAACCTACTCGAATGTCACCTATACTGCATATATGAGTGGTCTTTGGCTCCGTCCTCGATCAACTTCTAGACTATCTCTATTTAACATTGATGGATTTCCTGCTTCATACTGTGCCGAGCTTGCCTATCAAATACAACCTTGAAGCTAACCCGAGAAGGCAAAATACCTAGCAACCCAGTTCTACACCTACGACATGAGGACCCGCCCATTGGATGCCGTGCACTCATCTCCTAAGACCTCCAAGGAGTTGATTGAGAATGGCTTTGCCATAAATGTAGAGAGTAGTCTTGTCCGCTGCTTCGCAGATAGCGAGTATGAAGCCGCCGGCGCCACCATGGTCCCTACGTACTCCTGGCCAAATGCACCCTTGGACCACATCATCATCGGCACTAAAGAGGTCCAGATAGACAGATTTCCACTTCAACATCTTCACGTCTATGCAGGCCATTTTTACAAAGAACAAACAGGCTCGTATGAGAAACTTTTCTACAATACGCCCAAGGCGGTGGTATTCTACTGGACATCGGTTGGCTCAAGCATGCCAGCGGCCTGGATTCCATGATGTACGAGTACCACTCCAGCCTACTTGGGACAGCTCTCGCCATCAAAACCTGGGCGCATCAACTATTGCACAAGGATGTCTCCACGATGCCTCCCATGCCCGTGTACAGCAACTCGGAGATGGTCGTTCAAGAAGCGCAAGAATACCTCCGCAGGGGTGTCGAATTCGCCGGGCGTCTCCCTCGCACTACCGTCGTCGGTGCCCAGGTTCGTTGCGGATCCAGTGCTGTACATGCCTGCCATCAGTTGGGAATTCCAGATTCCCAAATTGTCCGGTGGACTCAGGCCGATACAGCCAGACCAGGACCCTACAAGGAGATCCTGGAGAGTGACATTCTCCTCAACTGCATCTTTCTTAGCGAGCCAATCCCGCCACTCGTGGACTTCGAAGCACTGAGGCTGCCCCGGAATCTATCCGTAGTTTGTGATATTAGCTGCAACAGCCATGCCCCCTACAACCCCATTCCCATATGTTCTGGGGACTGTACGTTCGAAAAGCCGGTGCTCTCCATCCCTGTCCAGTCCGGACCGCCGTTTGAGTGTGATTTCTATCCCATATTTGCCCAGTGCTGTGCCAAACGAAGCTTGCGAGGATGCGGCCCAAGTGGCTCTGCCATCGATCAAGCAGCTAGGATCGTGGGATGATTCCCCAGTGTGGAAACAGCTTGAGGAACTAGTTTATGAGAAGCTGCAGACAATTTCGGAAACGAAAGTAGCTCCACGGGCGATGCTGTAATAGGGTTATAAGGTAGGACGACGTTCGCTCTTTGTCTTGTTAGACCGCATAGTAGAAACCTGATGAAGCTTAGGTCCTGAAGTTATGGGGTCAGAAAACAACGTCTCGTAGAAAGCGACACATAATACGTACATACTACACACAGAGCAACCTCACGAACGACATCAGGGCGGCGAGCCATTGTGCCTAACTGACATTACGAGCTTTGAGAAGGTCATCGCCACACCATTCTACCAAAATTTGCGTGTCGGAGCTGACAAATGACAATTTTCTTGCAAAATGAAGGTATTGTGAGATCAAAATGGGGGTCCTACCGGAGTTAAGCATTAAACCCGACTTTAAATACGAAACGTGCATGCATAAACTTTAGGGCTTTAGTGGTAAGAGGTGTCGGCCTTAAGCTTAGGAATCAATCTCGATCGATTGATATCCTAACTGAGTTATAGATTACGCTATTTAACTCATGGGGGCCAAAAAGTATCGTTTAGTATTACAAACCCGCTTATGACACACTGAGGTTGAATTACTAATATTGGTATATAGTTAACTACTAATATTTGAACTTCTACTTTATAAAAAGGCTTTGTAGTACTCAAGAGGTAGTCATTCTGTCTGTCAATAACAAGCATTAACTATCTACTTCATTGATTATCCCATCCATTATGTCTCTGAACCAAGCTGCCTGGTTCGATGCCGAAGGTCAGCCCTTTCGGGTTGGTCCTGCGCCAATGCCAACACCCGGCCCTAAGCAACTGGTCATCAAGAACCAAGCCGTGGCAATTGTAAGTCCATCATGTCATATCTAGTTGAGCTTTCACAAAGGTACTTACGGTTTAACCCAGAACCCAGCGGACTGGAAGATCCAGTAAGCAACCGACAAATACACAAGCCTTTAACCAGCCCGCACGCTAACATTTTAGGGCTGGTGCACCTTTCGTTAGGACATGGCCGATCGTAATTGGAATTGATTTCGCAGGAACAGTTGAAGAAGTTGGCGACGAAGTAACTCATTTCAAGAAGGGCCAACGTGTCATTTCGTAAGCTGGCTCTGCGGACCACTAGAACGTTCACCATTACTGATACGCGTGGATAGACATTCCCAGTCATTAAGAGACCAAGACCCTGCAAAGGGTGCATTCCAGCTCTACCCAATCGCCGAGGAAGTCTTCACATCTGTGATTCCGGATTCTATGAGTTTCGAGCAAGCCGTTGTGCTACCTGTGGCTGTCTCCACAGCGACAGCTGGCCTTTACCTTCCTAAATATCTCGGTCTTCCTTACCTGCCGTCGTCAAACCCTAAACCCACCGGAAAGACGCTCCTCATCTGGGGCGGGGCCTCCTCCGTCGGTGCAGTCACTATCCAATTCGCCGTTGCTTCGGGGCTGAGAGTAATCACCACAGCCTCTCCAGCTAATCATCAGTTTGTCAAAGCCATGGGCGCCAGTGCCGTGTTTGATTACAGATCCCCTTCTGTAGTCGAGGATATTGTCAAGGAGCTTGAAGGCAGCGACCTCGCTGGAGTCTACGATGCCATCTCCGAAGAACCCAGCTTTGAGCCGATCACCGAAATTCTGAAGCGTGTAGGCCGCCAGGTCAAAGTTGCTGCTGTGCTGGCTCGTGAGAAGCCATCAGAGGGGTTTGACCCCATCTTTGGTATGCTATATCCCATGATAACGCATAGTCGTGCAGAGCGCTAATGTTCCCAGTATTCTGTTATGAAATCGCCACAGCCCCGAATGAAGAGATGGGCGAAGTTATCTGGGGGAAGTTTGTGCCCGAGGCATTGGCCAGTGGACAGTTACAGGCGAAGCCTGACCCTGTGATTGTAGGTCATGGGTTGAGTGAAATTGAGCATGGGCTGAAGGTGCAGAAAGCTGGAGTTTCTGCTAAGAAGATTGTTGTTATTCTCTAGGCCATGGGCGCTTTAATTGTTTAACGCAAATGATTCTAGTATAATGTCGAGCCTTTCTCAGACCAGACGCAAACTCAAGGATATCTTAGGGTGGTGAGAGATATACCACTCCGCGACAGGTGTGCGGGGAGGTGACAACCCTCGCCTATACTTTACACTCTTACATCTGTTTTGCTTGTGGGGTTCCGGTCAGCTCGCGGGGAATCTTTTCTTGAGAACTGGCATGTTCGAGTGCTTATAAGTCAGTTTCACTAGCGCCAGACATGCGAAAATCTATATCATTTCCTGATCCACGCATTCTTTTGACCCAGCCCAGAGCGCAGCATTGGCTTGACTGTCTAGACTTGCTATTCAATCATCGATTTGTATTTCCAAGAGAACGAAACATCGATTATTGCAGCTTCTCAAGGCATGGCCAATAGCGAGACAGATCTGTGAGTGTCAAATAACCACTTACGCTCAACGCCAAAGCCTTAAGAGGCAATGTTCGAACCCATACTTACCGCAACATGATTTAAAATAACACATCAAAGCGAAATCGGTGCACTTTGCAGTTGGCCTCTGGAGTCACGATAGGCCTAGTCTCATCAAGCTCTAGGACCATACGTTTTCAGCCATATAGGGGAGACACACTAACCCTGGACTATGTAAGGTGAGAGCCCTTACCGGACAGCACAGGTTGTCAATGTAGTATCCGAGGAGCAAGGCTTGCAATGACAACACCTTAAGCAAGTAGAAAGATTGCGGTAGGGGTTATATTATGCTCTGGTAAGTGCCCAGTGGTACTATTGTAAGCTGTATTCGACACATCGAATCTAAGAAAGACGCGAGTAGACCACTCCAGTGAAGCCCTACTAAAGGGACCTCACAGTATACAGTAGATCACTCCGTAGTCGGTAGGCGGTGAAGCGAGCTAGTAGTGGACCCACCGGGAAAGCTTTTCTCCACCGCCGACAAGTTTTCGCTTTCCCTCAACAGAGCGAAGGTCTAGTTTTCCTTCATCATACAAATCATTTATTTACTTCTTTTCTTGGTGCCATTGTCTTAAAATGACAAGCGCACTCCCAGCCCTGGCTATTCCAGGCCAACGCCTGGGCTCAGTGACCTCCTACTCGGCCGGTCCAGGCACACACGTACAACAATCCAATGTCTACGCCTCCATCGCCGGCCCAGTCGTCGTCGAACCGGCGCAACCAGGCTCCAAAGGCAAGGCTACTCTAAGCGTCTCTCGCTCGATCAGAGCTCCCGGAACAGGCAATGCTCCCAAACCCGTGACCACAGCACCCGGCGCCAAGTCAGCGGCATCTTCCTCTGCTCCCAAGCCCAAACTGAAATATAACACCCTCCCCGCAGTCGACTCAGTGGTGCTGGCGCGCGTGACGAGGGTCCAGAAACGTCAGGCTACGGTGTCTATCCTCGTTGTGTTGGATGAATCCGGCAGCACCCAGGGTGTCAACCCCTCACAGACGACGTCCGATAACGACAACATTGAGGCGATTCTCTCCTCCGCCGCCAATCCCGAGAACCATAGCAGTTCCGACGAGCTCCGCTTCCAGGCTCTTATCCGGAAGGAAGATGTGCGCGCTGTTGAGAAAGACCGCGTCGTTATGGACGAGATGTTCCGCGTTGGTGATATCGTTCGTGGAACCGTGATTTCCCTCGGTGACCAGAGTTTCTACTACTTGACGACTGCGCGCAACGATCTTGGCGTTGTTATGGCTCGTAGTGAAGCAGGAAATATGATGTTCCCCGTTAGCTGGAAGGAAATGAGGGATTCTGTCACCGGTCAGGCGGAGTTGAGGAAGGTGGCGAGACCGTTTTGATGAGGTTGATCCAGTTGGGGTGGCATTTGTCGGTTGGCTTTACTGATGCTTCTTGCCCCCCTCATTTTCTTATCATTACAGGGCTAAGAAAGGCTCTTATGTGGCGTCTCTTTCTCGGTACTTCGGAGAGTCGCGTGCCGGCGCAGAGGGCTGGAGAGATCCGTTGGCCCCTCTCTCTTCCAGAAGAACTGTGCCGCTTCCTGCTCGGAACTGTCTTAGACAGACTATACGACTAGAGTTGAGATGCTCTGGACATTTCTCACGGAGCACACGCTCCATCATCTTGCATACTACTGCTGTACATATTAGAAGTATTGGTCTACCAGTGCTTTGTGCTTCACATTCAACGATGTGTAATGAGTTACGAACAAGCTAATTCAAGAGAATACAATAGCTCTTTGATCATCTAGACAGTCCTGAAAGGCTAGGCGCTCAAATCGCTGTTTACATACACCTCCATAGTATCCAAGGTTCTGGCCTTCTCCGTGCTGAACTGTAACCGGAGGAAGATAAACAGTATCTAGTGTAGGAAAATACTTATCTCCACAACCCACGTTATGATTCTCCATTCTCTTATATCGTGGAATGGAGCTGCTACAATCAAGGGTACAATATCTTCAAGAACATTGTAATCACACCCAACGCAATAATGGAAAATATTGTAATGATCCAAATAACTTTTTTTTGTACTGTATGTACATGTATACCATCCGCAATATCCAATTGCTTCATCTATCGTACTATAAATCCACCCAAGTATAAATAACGAACCTCGTTTTACTTCTTCAGCGTCTTCTGCTTCTCCGCATCAATCAACTTCCTTCCCTGGACCACCAGTCCCTTTCGAGTTCTCACAGCATCCATGTACCGCTTCGCCACGTTCTCCCTATCCGCTAACTCGCCTAGATCTTCCAATTCTTCCTCGGTGGCCGGAACCCAGAAGGGGTCTTCGTCGAGGGCCTCAAACCCAGCGAAGATAAGCTGTGGTTGCGCTGCACCCGAGGTACGCTTACGAATTTCCTCGGCAAATCCGAAAGACTCGGCAACGGGGAGCAGAGCCAGGATCGTGAAGAAGGGGGTACCTTCCTTCATGGTCTCTGAGAGGATGCGGCCGCGGCGTCGGGTTATTACACCGTATACACGACCAAGGACTTCGGCTGTTTTGGGTCAGCATATACTCTGTGTAACTTGGAAGGGTAAAGGGGGTGCGTACTTGATGCTTGAATTTCACAACTGTACATGGCGAGCATGATTCGGGGACTCCAGTCGAGGAACCCTTGAGAAATGCTCTCACGGACTAGTCTGATTGCCTCTCCTGTCAGGCGACCGAGATCAAGCTCTTCCTCACTAGCGTTGACGGTTATCTCTTCTAGGAACACGGCTGTTCCTTGCATGGGCTCTTGACAGAGAGGGCCCTGCCCGGTTGCCAGTTGGAAGGCATACGTGATCTTGTCGCAGAAGTCACGTACGATCAGTGCTTCGCGGCTGCTGGTTTCTGTGTTGACGGTGGGCTGTTGCTTGGGATCTTCCAGTAAACTGTTACTTGTCAGTCTATGTCACGTGTGAATGTTACCGGGTTTCGTGATTAAACTTACAATTTCTCGCAAGTGTTGACTGCGGTGGCATCTACTAGGATGTTCGGTCCCACTCGCCTTGGGCCGAAGGCCGTGATTCTGTCTACGACGTCCTTCCATAGTTCCTTGTCCTCTTTCACTTCTTCGTCGAAGATCTTATTCAGTTCATCCCTGAAGTCCTTGAGAGAGAGCACACTTCCTTCGCGGGCTTCGTCTGTTGCGTCACTGGTCTCCACTTGCTGAGTGCTCTCCGGCGTTCCGTTGGCTAGCTTGTCCTCTGTCGCTGCGTGCCGCTGAGATTGTAGTCGTTTGATAGTTCCAACATGTTTAGTGAAGTATTCAGTCACGACTTCAGGCAGAGGCACAACACGTAGCCGGATAGACAACTGCTTTGATGCTGAAACCGCCAGAACACCACCCCGTCCTAAATCTGGGTTCTTAGGTGCAGCCATTTCCGGTGCGTTGACGATGGTTTCGCGGTATGGTACGATTGTTTGGCCGGTCTGAATGTCGCATTTGGCGAAACGTTCGCGGAGGTCCTTCAAGCAACGCTCGAGATGCAGTTCACCAGCTGTTAGGATGACATGCTCACCGTTGGGGAGCACATCGTACTGCGCGCAAGGGTCGCTTTGTTCGAGGAGCCGCAGACCGGTAACCATCTTGCCCAGATCGGAAGGGTTGGCTGGTTCTAGAGCAACCCTGACGATAGGGGGAGTATTGAGGGAAACACCAGCCAAGTTAATGCTTCCCTCGAGCTGTGAGCACAGGGTTCCGGTCTTCAAAACATGGCCTGCAAGACCTCCAATGCCGAAAACAACACCGGCGGGGACAGACTTCAGTGGCTCGAGACTTCGTCCCATAAGGAGATACAGGTCTGTGACAGTCACCTTCTGTGGTACGGGAGTAGCGTTCGGGTTTTCCGGTGAGAACTTCGGCGCGAGGACGTAGATAGAGTCACCAACTGAAAGGGTTCCTGAATATAGTCGCGCAAAACCAATCAGGTGTTCTGGATCTTCCTTCTCGTCCTCTTCCGGCGCTTCATTATTATCGTCAATGGTAACAGTTTCGAAGGCAGAAGTGATCCGTGCATAGCCGTCATCCTGCTGTTCACCATTAGCCTCTGCTTGCATTTTGGCTATTTCTTCTCTCTTTTTCCGAGCAATCTCTCGGGCCTCATCCGCCGACATAGTCCCGCCGGACCGTTTCTTGCTTGAAGACAGTTCACTTTCCGGAATGGCAACCATCTTGCTGACATACGCTACCACAGGCTCATCCAACCCCGTCTTGAACTTGATCATCGCGTCTTTCACTTTTGCATCCACAAAGTCCGCGCCAGGCGACTCCTCAATCAAGGCCGGTAACCGGGCTTCTTGGGCAGCTGGCGGACTAGGAAGGTATTCAATAACAGACACGAGGACTGCGGTGGAAAGAGGAAGCCACATAGAAAACAGTGTTGTCATTATATTCTTGGGGTCCCGAGATCGTAAAATATATGCCGGAATCGAGATATTCAGGGACTTTGTAATTTTCTCCAATAAAGCAGGGTCACTGTTCCTTGTCAGCCGGCGATCCATACCCAAGTATATGTTATACCATACCCTTTTCCTTTACCTCCGCCCGTCGTAGCTTCGTACGCAGCCCAGATGCTGTCCAAAACTAACTGAACGAACATCGGCTTCAAAGCCCGCCCTTTAAGATGCTTCTGTCCCAGAACTCGTTTCGTCTTGGGGTCCAAGTAGTAGTCTCCCCAGAGCACTTTTTCAAGAACCGCACGCTTGATCCCGAGCTTCTTTTCGTAAATAGTGGCGAATTGGCGGACGGTGAAGGCCCATCCGTCCACAGCACTGCAAAAGATGACATTGTTCTTCTCAGGGGCAAAGTAAAGGTCCTCATCATCTCGCTCTACATAATCCGCAGCGTCTGCACCCGCCTGTGTAGATTCATCATCTTGCGTTTGCTTCTTGGTACGATCTTTCTCGGCCGCCGCATTGGCACGTTCTTCCATGCGCTCTCGCCACTGGAGATCTTCCTCCATTCGCTCACCTTGGTAGAAGCTACCGATAACTGCATTGACCTGCTCTAACAATTTGCTCATATGAGAATAAGCCTCGCTTGGGCTCATCTTCAATTCAGTAACCAGTCTGTCGATCTTATTTATAACCAGGATGGGTTTCAGCTGCTCAACCCAGCTTTGACGCAGGACAGTGACCGTCTGACTGCAGACCCCTTCTACAGCATCGACCAGAACAATGGCCCCATCGCACAGACGAGAAGCTGTTGAGACCTCGCTGCTAAAGTCGATATGCCCTGGGGAGTCGATAAGATTGATTAAGTACTCTTTGGCTACCGGAGCAGCGTCAGGAGCAGGACGACGCATCATCGAAAAGAACAAAGAGATGGCCGACGACTCCATGGTAATACCTCGAAGCTGTTCATCCGGACGGGAATCCAGATAGCGGATCTTGCCCGCCAGCTTGGGTGAGATGATGCCATTAGTGGCGATAAGGCTATCGGTTAAAGATGTTTTGCCATGATCCTATAGCCACTCAAAATTTCCAGAATTAATAAGAGCAACTTTGTATCGGATTTAGCAGCCGTAGCTACTTACAACGTGAGCTAGGATACAAATCTGCGATAGTGGTTAGCTATGGTATCGCGATACGAAGGACGTTGTGACATCAAAGTGGGATGATGGAGGGGCTGCGTACATTCCGTATATCGTCGGGTTTCCGTTGAAGACGGACCAAATCCTCGACATTTACGACGGGCATTTTGGAAATAGGCTGGTGTCAGTGACCAACCTGAATCCGAAAAAACCAGTTCAAGGATCTTCCAGTGGTTAGAATACGTCTGAGTTAGTTGGTGTCCCGCGTATTGCGGAAGAATTCAATTTTATGACCAAAAATGGAAAAAATATTGGCGGAAAAGCCAAGAGCCTTTCAACAACCAAAAAATCACTGCAAACCAAAGCGGACTATGAGTATTATGAAGTTATAATTGGATTATCATGCCTGGAGGCGTTGCATCAAAAGTATTTTTCATTGATTATTAATTATTTTCGGGTTGTTATCAAATATGACGTTTATTCTACTGGTGCCGGCTGGCCGCATAGTATGAGTCAAATCGAGACATTATGACTGGGTAAATTGATAGTCATCATTCATCATTCTTCGTCAAACGAGAGCTTGATTTTCTTTTTCTTCTGTTTGGGCTTCCGAGAACTAGTGTCTTTCGGCTGCGTTTCTTCTTTCTCTGCTGAAGGCTCTTCCTCGCCAATAATCTTCGCCTGCTTTCGCTTCTTAGGTCCTCCTATCTCTGCCATGTTCTGTTTTGATATGGGCGCTTCTTGCGCGGTACTTGCCTTATCCTCTCCTTTATCTTGCGATGTAGGATGTTCCTGGCCGGGTTCTTCTTTCCCTGTATCCTCGACTTCCTTATTACTGTCGCGAACGAGAGCTTCATATTCCTCTTTGGATATCACTTCATTGCTCTCTTCGTCAACATAGGTAGGTTCATCATCATCGTCGGCATCTTTTAATTTTCGGGGTCGAGCAATTGGGCGCTCAAGGCGACCGGAGGTATCGCCGTATTGGTTCCGAAGTCGTTGTAAGAATGCTGGTTCTTTCGCCTCTGTTGTTAGAGTATCAGCCCAAGCTCTGCGCAATGATGATAAGGAGCCAACGTACCATATGCGAGGTTCTTTGATTTGAAGGACATGTTTTAGTTGTCCCGCAGCAAACTGTTAGTTTTAGATTCTCCTAGACAAGATAACAAGGGAAATATCGCTACCGCGACATGTAATATTGAAGCAAAGAAACAGAGTAGTGTTTCAACTCTTTATGTCCTCCGGGTATCAATGGAATATTGAAGACAGAGAGCTCGAATGGGACAGACAAAGTCCGTCAATGTCAAGATTGTTCTAATAGCTTAATCGCCTGCTTAGATGGGTAATGCCGCAAAGTTGTAAGAATGAATAAGTGTACATGGGAAATAAATACAATGAGCTAAGAGGACAAGAGTGGACTTGAACTTGATCGTTTGCGCATGGTTGCTTGCCGCCAAGAGATCTGCGGCTAAACCCAAAAGATAGGCGGAGGGTCGAAAAGTCCAAAGGAGCCGCAGCTCTTGTGGTGAAGAGCAATCACCTCTCTCTCTCCCCACGTCCATCCATCTTCCAGAAATATCATGCTGTGTGCAAGTGAGTAGCAAGTGTCATACACTATTACACTTTTATGGAAAACTGACGGTGACTGATGACAGTCTCGGGAGAGGCACCACAAGTGCCCGTCGTCTCGCCCAAGAGCGGTATGTTGCAACCTCGAACAGCACCCGCACCGTATCTAACGTCCACTAGGCAGTGTGTTTGAGAAGCGCCTCATCGAGGCATATATCGCCGAAAATGGGAAAGATCCCGTGAACGGGGAGGAGCTCTCTACCGATGACCTTGTTGAGGTCAAGTCCGACCGCGTTGTTCGACCCCGTCCCCCTACACTCACCTCGATTCCTTCCCTACTCAATGTGTTCCAAGAGGAATGGGACGCCCTTGCCCTGGAGACATACACACTACGACAGACATTGGCGCAAACGCGCCAGGAGTTGAGTACGGCTCTCTACCAAAACGATGCGGCGGTCCGCGTGATCGCGCGCCTGACCAAGGAGCGGGATGAAGCCCGTGATGCGCTTTCTAAGGTGTCCGTCGGCGCTACACGGTCTGGTGGTGGTGAAGCAATGCAGGTTGATTCAAATGGACTTCCTGAGGCAGTTTTGTCACGTGTTGAGAGTACACAAGCAGCGTATGTACAATGTTTGTGGTTTCTGAATCCCGACCTCGTAACTAATTGCAAATAGGCTCTCTAAGACTCGCCGTAAACGCGCTGTTCCGGAAAGCTGGGCGACCAGCGATGCTATCTCAACATACAAGCCCGCTCAGAGCACCGAGCCCCTCTACCCCGGTGGGAAGGCACTGTCTGTTAACGCCTCCGGGGAGCTTGCCCTTGTTGGGGGCGCTGACGGCGTTGTTGGTGTCTACTCGCTATCTCAGAAGCAAGTCGTTCAAAGTTTGCAAGCAAATGGCCCGGTTACCGATGCTGTTTGGGCAGGTGATAAGGCCGTCGTTGCTTCGTCTACCGGCTCTGTGAAGGTCTTCGAGAATGGCAATGAAGTTGCTGACTTCAGCTCTCATGCTGGTGCAGCCACTGCGCTCGCCCTGCACCCTACTGGCGACATTGTTGCTTCCGTTGGCGCTGACAAGAGTTACGTGCTTTACGACTTGGCGACCAACTCCGTGATTACCCAGATCTTCAGCGACTCATGTGAGTATATCACCGCCAATGTAATTTTTGTCCACCAGCTAATCTCAATTTTCCTTTTTAGCTCTTCTTTCCGTAAAGTTCCACCCCGATGGCCATCTTATTGCTGCCGGTGGCGTGGATGGACAGATCAAGATTTTCGATGTCAAGAACGGCTCGCCTGCCGCTAATTTCGCTATGTCTGGACCCGTCAAGTGCTTGTTCTTTTCCGAAAATGGTACATTCATGGCCGCGGTCGCCGAAAGTTCTACAGTTGTTTCTATTTGGGATCTCCGCAGTGCATCAGAAGTCAAAGCTCTGGACACCGGCAGCCAGATTGATTCTATCAGCTGGGATTACACCGGGCAATTCCTACTCACTGGCGGACCTAGCGGGTTGACCGTCCAGCAGTACACCAAGTCAACTAAGTCATGGTCGGAACCACTGCGAAGCGCTGTGCCTGCAGCTGCCGTGTCGTGGGGTGTTGCAGCTCAAAGTATTGTGGCTTTGAACCGTGATGGTGGAATCACAATGTTGGGGGCACAGTAATAATGATACCTTTCAGAGAAAACCAAAGCATTGAGTTTGTACTTTTAGTTCTTGAAATTATGGATGCTGTTTGTCACCTGAACTTCACAGTTGGGAGAGAGAAGAACGAACTGAAAGAATAAAAGACAATAGATTACTGTCTTGGATGTACTGCTGTTACCAGGAGTTGAAATTAACACATACCAAAAACATGCTACCGGCAGCCGTCACATTAATAATATAAATGTTGTTTCAGCCAGTGATCGGGACCTAATTTAGGAGTAGATCTGGTGACATGGGGGAGGGGGTTTCAACTTCCTCGTTCTCTTTTCCCGTATTTCTTTCGTGCACTTTTACTTATCTTATCGGGAGTCTCAAATACCGGTGGCCAACTGCTGATGAGGGCGGCATATATCATGTCATCTCTCCACCGCAAGGACTCGGCTCCGGACTTATTACTTTGGACGATTAGGAACCCTTCCACCAGCTGTATCGCTCCTTCGATTTCGACTCCCACGCCTTTCTCACCCTCTTCATCTTCATTCTTCCCGGCCACTCAGTTCTCCCCGCTGCTGGACTTCGGCCCAAGGAATTTGACATGAACGACGACTCAGGTGTGCAGTTTGTGGCTGCACGGCCAAGAAAGGTTCGCCTCATACCTTTCCGCTACCTTCGAGAGGCGGGGCACCCATTGTGCCAATGCTAGAGAGACGAGCGCTTGCTGACAATTATCATGAAACTACAGCGTAATCACCAACAAATGTCCCGAACGTCTCATTCACCCAGTCGCCGTTTCTTTTCACAAAATGGGGAGCCGTCGTCCTCCAGAGCTCCGACCAACCGGTTGCCACCCATGAGGTACGCCGGGGACGGTCTCGACATGAGGAGACCTGTCGTCTCGGCTTCCCCTCAGACAGATGAAGTGATCGATTTGACAAATGAACCGGATTCGCCTCCACAAGAGCGAGATAGGAGTTCTCGGGCGACATCGCGGCGACCTAGACAGCCCCGTTTTGGAAGGGATATCATGGCAGATGTTGTGGATCTCGAAGATGAACCGGATAATACAATTGACCTCGACTCTCCTAGCAGTCCAGAAGTTCAATTCGTGGGTGCCACCGTTCGGCCCCAGCTGCCTCGACCATCGCCACCACAGCCCAGAGGCTTTGATTTCGGCTCCGGGCTTGTACGGTTCCTACGGTTAGATAATCCCAGGGTTCAACATTTTCCTGGTAGAGGGTTATTTTCTAGGGGTCCTGGATGGAGAACCAGGGGGGCCCGTCACCCGCCACAAGATGTGGAGACATTTTGGATCGGTGATAGATCAGGCGGAGCAGTTGATCTGACGATCAATTTAGATATGGACGGTCCCCTGGCAATGGATTATCAAATTCAAGGGTTTTCGCCGGATCGAGGGTCACGGCCAACATACAAGCCACCTAGCCCGCCGCCGGAAGGGTTCACAAGGAACCTGGTAGAAGACGAGGTTGTCTGTTGTCCGAATTGTGATGTAGAACTCGGTACGGGTGATGAGATTCAACAACAGATTTGGGTGGTAAAGCAATGCGGACATGTTCGTATGCCCATAATGCGCCTTCTTCTAACCGGCTCTAACATCTATTCCAGGTTTATTGCGGGCAGTGTGCCACCTATAGGTCCAAATCGAACGCTAAGAAGGCATCGCAGCCTGTGAAGCCATTTTCTAAGTGTCAAGTGGCGGATTGTGGGAAGGCTGTCAGTGCACCAAAATCGATGTTCCAGATCTATTTATGATACATATATTCTCTCCTCCCCTTGTTTTATACAAGGTTTGCATGATTCCGGTGTTAGGTGGGCGGTTACTTGGTCTGGTTTACTACTTCTTCGATACCCTTATTGCATTGATGGTTGATGGGATGGATATTATATGGATTGCGGGTAGATCCATCGTTCGGTTACTAGCTACTGAACCATAGAATACGTTTTTGGTTACTTCGGAGCTACCTCAATAGGTTGCGATTCCTATTAACCTGATAATAATTAAGATCAATGCATTTTGTACATACATATGCTACATACTCTTTTAACATAAAAGCATTGGTTTCCCAGAACAAAACAAATAGAGGCCCATAATACATTGTATGAATATGACAAGCTGGAAGCGTCGCAATCCAGAAAATAACACCGTCGCAGTAAACCCAAAAACACCGCTTTAGACAGTCTTGACATCTCCGTGATACGGGGACCAGATGCCTCTGACACTCTCGTTGATACTTGTGACGGGCTTCTTGGTACGCTTCAATTTCTCTCCGCTGGCCTCCTTCAACAAATTCGCCTTCTGGAAGATCTGTTCGGGCTCGAGGTTGCGGACACAGACCGCTTTTTCACGTCCGTTGATGTAGTGGCCCTTGATTACAGGGTGCTTGTGTGGCCGTGGCGATACGCGGATTTCAATCTGAGGGTTGGCTTTGGCGAAGGAGGGAAGAGTGTTCTTCAGGAAAGCTCTGGAGTAACACCACCGTTAGCATCAATGACCAAGTTTTACCTCGTAGGAAAAGGACATACACCATCCCGCGGGAACTTCCAGCCCAGTCGCAGTAGTGAAAGTCCAAACGCTTGCATTGCAAAATAAAGGCACCCACGCCATTCTGCGAACCATTAGCTATTGTGAGCACCACAGATCCAGATTTGGAGGAGCTAGACATACTCTGGCTGAGGTAACTGCTCTAATTCCTTGTACAGGCATTTTCTGTAATTCTTTATTTGATTGATACAATCACTCGAAAATCGGTCCACGGAGAGATAGTTCACTTTTCAGCACCTCCGGGCATGGCTGTCATTGGTTCGCGGCTATGTCGGTTAGCGCGCCTAGCGTCTTCCAGAACTGCAATTGAGCTGCCAAGTCACGGAGGAACGCGAACTTGACAAACGAGACCTGCGGTAGTGTCTCAGAATAATTCCAACGCTCATCGTTGCTTATGCCCATTGCGCATGGGAATCGAACCCTCATTTTGTCCTACTGTGCTCTACTACTAACTGACTGAGGGCTCAAAGATGACGGACAAGCTCCCCCCTCCGCTCCTCGCCCTCTTTCAGCCTCGTCCACCCTTACGCTATGTTACTCCCATTGACCGTGCACCAGAGGACTGTAAGAAGAGTACACTCGGCGGTATCGCACAGTATCTCCCGGACTTGAAGGAGTACGAAGAGGAGTACCCGTACAATGCTACAGAGAGCTGGATCCAGCGCAAGTTGCGACAAAAGCAGGAGAAGAAGGAAAACATCGACAAACACTTGACAGAAGGCATTCATACATGTGTGTTATCTCCCTTAACTCTGTAGTTTCATCTGAGCGCATAAATACTGACCCTTCTAGTCGACCCTTCGAACGACCCGCAAGCTCGAGGCGACCCTTTCAAAACGCTTTTTGTGTCCCGTCTTAGTTACGATGTCAAGGAGTCCGATCTTGAAAGAGAGTTCGGCCGATTTGGACCTATTGAGAGGGTAATACTATTACAACCCTTCTTTTCGCTTTTCTTCGTTTAGTTTCTCGTATACTGATGTCATTGACTCTATCTAGATCCGGATCGTCAAAGACACTGTAACCCCGAAGGGTTCGAAGAAGCCGCATAGGGGATACGCTTTTATCGTTTACGAGCGCGAGAAGGACATGAAAGGTATTACTGCAAATAACCAACACCTTTATTGGCCACAGGTATCTGCGTCTTGAGATCGTTTTGCTGACATGATATACTTCTGATGGTTCCAGCCGCCTACAAGGAGACGGATGGCATTCGTATCAAAGACCGACGTGTCTTGGTTGATGTAGAACGTGGTCGCACTGTCAAGGGCTGGAAGCCTCGGCGATTCGGCGGCGGTCTTGGAGGTCGTGGTTACACCAAGGCACTGCCGTCGCGCCCTATTGGTCCTGGATCATTCGGTGCTCCCTCTGGACCTGGAGGTTACGGCGGTGGCTTCCGGGGTGGCTTTGGTGGTGGTGGTGGTAGAGGAAGGGGGGGCTTCCGTAATGAACGTTTCGGGGGTCCTCGTGGTGGTGTTGGATACCAAGGAGGCCGCAATGGATTTGGCGGCGGAGGCGGACAAGCTCCGCCAAACGCACCGTCTGGCCCCGGTGGTGGAAGAAGCGGTGGTTTTGGTGGCAGGTATGGTGATCGTGATCGGGGCGCAACCGGAAGCAACCGTGAACCCATTAGGCCAAGAGATGGCTTCTCCGACCGCGATCGACGGGATGACCGGGACCGCGATGGTGGTGACCGTCACAGGGACCGCGACAGGGACAGCTACCGTTACCGGGACCGCGACCGCGAGCGCGATCGTGGTGACCGATACGGAGGCCGGGAGGACTACGGACGCAAGCGATATCATGAGGATGATGCATACGATGACCCTCGCGCCAAGAGAAGATACTGAATACCTAGCCCCTGAAGGGTTTCCCCCATTTAGTACTCAACATGGTTTGCTGGTGGGTATTTCTGATCGATCTTCCAGTTTCTCTCATCGTCTGTTTTGGCAATGGGTAAGGCAAGGTCCACGCCGATCATTCAGGTCTCCTGCCGTCAGGCTTGACCATTACTTACAACAGTCGAAACATTACGCATCCTCATCTTACGCCTGAATCGAGGTATTCTATATACACCGCTGGGGTCTCATCATGATTTGATCCTTGGAATGGCCGTTTCCTTCCCGGAGAGTCGACGTCTACTGGAACCGGACACTTGGTCGCGACCCCTTTCTTACTGTTTTCCTTATCGAGTTATTCTTTTGCTTGCTTGCATGTCCTTCTGCCCTGTCAATTTCCTCTTCTCCAGGGTTTGCACTGCTCTTTACGGGGTAAGTATGTACTTTAGGTAGTCAACGTCTTTAGGTGGATTTCATGGAGGTGTTACGGGGGTCAGGTAAGAAGATCAGGTAAGGTTTTCTGCAACAACAAATAACCGATGCCAGGTATCTTCGTACAGTGTAAATCAAGGTAATGGTCGGAATAGTCTTATTTTATCCTCATGTAACAGGCCGATATATACGTCACTGTAGGTTTATTTTATGGTAGGACTTTAGCTTGGTATTCATGTATGTCCATCATACGCTCATCCAGCAATGAAGAACCCGTCATAAACGGGTACCACTCATAACAAGAGAAAGAAAAAAGAAAGAAGAAGAAAAGCAAGCGCCAATACCTAACTCCAAGAAATGCCCAGGGGATTTCGTCGAAGAAGAGAAGACATAAAAAAAGAATCAGAAAGAAGACTTTTTTTTCTATAGCCCCAAATTCCACCCCCACTTCACTGCTCAACCTCCATACCACCCTGCTCCTTCTCAAGAATCTTCACCTCTCCACTTTCCCGAGTCCAGCAAGCCTTCAGCGCAACATGGAACTCGGAAGTAGCAACACCGAACATCTTGAGCAGCGTCGTCTGCCGCGAATCGAGAACCTCTCCCTCCCGGCAAACGGGGAATGCCTCCTGGTCACCGGTCAACTCTAGCATAACCTTGCCCTTGACGAGACGAGTGGGGATGCCCAGCTTACGCAGCTCGGGCTCGATCGTGTGGCTGACTGGCTCGTCCTCCGAGGCGGGGATCTCGCCGGCGCGCGAGTACACAAGGCCATTGGGGATGCTGAAGGACCGGGTGCTGACGGTTCCGGCGCGGGCGAAGTCCAAGGGACGGAAGGAGTCAAAGTAGTTGGTGACGGACTCGGGGTCGCGAGAGGTGAAGAGGAGACCGACGGCACCGGTCAGATAGGGAACGAGCTTGTGCAGGTTGGTGGCTGCTTCGGATTCGGGGTTGTGGCCCAGTGCGACGGCCATGACTTTGGTCTTGCCGAAGAAGAGACTGCAAAGATGTTAGCCATTGATCCTAGGATATTCATGCATTGTAATATATTCCAATTTTCCATGTCCACGGGCCAAGAAAGTCCAATATCAAAATATGAACAATCCCCCGCAAAGGTTAAAAAAACTCACCGGCTATCAGCGAACTCAGTGCGCACATCCTTTAAGTAGGTATTGCGCATGTTATCAACTCCGAAGACGAAAAGATGGTCATATTTCTCGACAGATTCCCGGATATTGGCGTACAAGCGTCTGGTCTGTTCCTTGTGGGACTTTTTGGCGGTCTTGGTCTCGTGGACGACGCGGGCGCGCTTAGAGCGAGGCATTGTGGCGGAGTTGTGGGTGAAAAATTCGAAAACTCGGGTTTGAAATTATTGACACCCCGACGTTCTTGGACCCGGTGGATGGAGAAAATGGGTTTTATATACAAACGCGGAAATGGGTCGACTTGGAGGAGGTCGAAAATCAATTATTTTTTTCTTCACTGATAACAGTCGGAATATTGTTGATGCGGGGCTTATCCGATTAGATCTAAACTGCATGGGGAAATCAGCTGTAAATGCCTCCGCCGACTGACATACCGCGAAGTCTTGATTAGACCGTTGGCATATTCTCGCCTTGGTCCATGATGATCTAGCTGTGGGGGCTTTGATTTTGATTTTCTCTTAACCGTACTATACCAATTACTGTCATTGGCCGACAATGCTCGACTTCATGGATTATATCCAACTCGCGTTCGCCGAGGGGACTAACTGGAATCGCGACAATTCATACTCGTCGCTGACGGCCACAGCCCAGTGTAAGGACCCAATGCCTTCTCTCTTATTCTTTAATAAAGATCCCTTTAACTAACAGAGACACAGCCCTCCTGGATTTCTCAACCCCCGAGCGTCTACGCGTGCATCTTTCATCTCTATCGACCCCCAATTTCGCAACCAGCTATACCCTCGGCACAGTAGGCCTAATCGACGGCTCAGTGTCCTACCTCTACAGCACCGTCCCCTTCACCAATACACCAAGCCGGAGCGCCTTAATCCCTCTTCGCAAGCTATCCCCAGGCTACCGTCAAGTAACGCCCCCAATTGCCCCTATCGAAGACTGGAACTGGAACTCAATCCTCGACAATCCTCAAAATGTCCAACCGTCATTCGCCAGCAAGCCCACCCTGCTGCACGCAACATTACACCTCCCACCCCCAACAACCCTAAACGCCCTTTTCCTCCGTCGCATCTCCCCGACCATGCATCTAACACTAGCCGTCTGCTCGACGAGAGGGCCCCCGCTCTCCAAATCCGCGCCGCAAGCATCCCTCCTCACCCAGTTGTCCCACGACACCGGTAAATACAGCAACGAATACCTCTTCAGCACAGATAATGCGCTATTCGGCTGGCGAGGTCTATGGAACTTCGGGCCCGACCCTCGCTCCGCAACAGATACCGCCGCGCCGCGCCTATCGCTTCTATCAGCCGGCGCGGAGGCATATTACTCGCCTGTGTCATCGCTTATTGGCATGTCTACCGGTCTGAGGTTTAGTACGCTCCCCGCTGCGACGGATGTGCCTGCATCGACGGCGACGGGGTCTGCGACGGCGAATCAGAGTACCCCTATCTCTACATTTCCGTATACGCTTACCTTAACGCTGACGCCGTTGACTGGTTCCTTGTCGACAACGTATTCGCTTCGTGCATCACCCAATCTGGCGTTTAGTTCCCGCTTCGGGTTCAATGTTTACAGCTGGGAGAGTGAGATGGTAGCTGGTTGTGAACTGTGGCGGAAATCGAGGAAACAAGATGATGGGTTGGAGTGGGCGAGACGGAAGATGCGCGCTTCTGAGCCTTTGTCTCTGCCTTCTTTGCCTACTGAGCCGAAGGAGAGGCATGAGGAGGAGGCGACCGACTCTGTTCTGAAGATTCGGGTCGATCAATCGTGGAATGTACGGGTCCTTTGGGAGGGGCGCGTGAAGGAGCTTTTGGTGAGTGCTGGAGTGGGATTAGGGCCGAGTTCGTTCTCGTCTTCGTCGTGGGCGACTGCTGCGACTGGGTCGGGACAGAGTAGTGGTGGTGGTGTGCCGTCGTATTGGAGGGGCGTGGGTGTTTCGGTACTTTATTCTTCTTAATCCTCTTCTTAATTGTTTGGTTTTCTCAGATAATGGGTGTTTGGTCCGTTGTATAGGTGGCCCTTTTTTTTTTTTTTTTTTTTTTGTGCATGGATGTATATATTTAGTGTTAGAGCGGGATAGATGAGCCGTGTGATATGTTTTCTTGAAATATGAAAACCTCTATATTCATTTTGATATTTGGATCATAGAACTAATTTTGGAACGTCATAAATTTATCGATAAAGGAACCAGAAAATGATTATAGCCTATATTAACACCATCCATTTGCTTACAAACGAGCATTGATGATATCAACGACTGCAATTGAACGTTAGCATCTTATAAATACACAAGAAGGGGATAGAAAAGAACGTACAAGCAGGCTTCAAGCTGGCACCGCCAACCAAGAAGCCATCGACATCAGGCTCCTTGGCCAACTCGCGGCAGTTCTTCTCGCTGACGGAGCCACCGTAGATGATACGGGTGTTCTCGGAGGCCTCGGGCGAGATGGCCTCGGCGAGCCACTTGCGGATGGCGGCGTGGACCTCCTGGGCCTGCTGGGTGGTCGCGACCTTGCCGGTACCGATGGCCCTGTTGTACCTGTTAGCACCACAGTCTAGGGCGACGTGATGTCAAGAAAGAAGGTACTTACCAGACGGGCTCGTAGGCAATGACGACCTTAGTCCACTGCTCCTTGGTGAGCTCCTTAGCGGCAGCGTTGAGCTGCTTGGTGACGACCTCAATGGTCTTGTTGGCCTCACGCTCCTACATAAGACATTAATCAAACCAGATCATGCAATCCTCTCCAATAGGGAAAGGTTAAGAGCGGAGAGTGGACATATGAGCCATACCTCAAGAGTCTCACCGATGCAGAAAATGACGCTAATGCCACCGTCAATGGAAGCCTTAACCTTACGAGCAATGAACTAAAGCCAATTAGTGACTCAATCGCTAACGAATGTGCTGCAAGATAGGGAAATAAACAAACCTCGTCGGTCTCCTTCAGGATGACACGGCGCTCGCTGTGTCCAATGATGGCCCAGGGGATCTTGGCATCCTGCAGCTGGGAAACCGAGATCTCACCGGTGAAAGCACCATTGGGCTTGTCGAAGACGTTCTGGGAGGAAACGGCAACCTTCTTCGCGTCGGCGACCTGCTGGGCGAGGGTCAGGTAGAGAGCAGGAGGAGAGACGACGACCTCGGTGGTCTCGTCGAGCTTGGCCTCATTGAGGTTCTTGATGATGGAGGTAATGCTTTCCGCAGTACCGTTCCTGTATTGCAAGAGAGACAGAGGGTGTCCGTTAGCTTTCTGGTGGTTGTTGGTGTGGCATCAGGTCAGAGGGGGCATTGCGGGGCAGCAGTGGTGGGTGGTAGTGGGTGATGCCGTACATCTTGAAGTTACCACCGACGAAGAATTGGCGAGGCATTTTGAATGTGTGTTTATGTGAAAGGAAGATACGACGAGTTTGGTTGAGGAAAGACAGTGTGATTGTGAAGTTGAGTATGGGAAGAAAGAGTAGAGGAAGATCAGACGACGGGGAAGAGCGATGACATAAATGGTAGAAGACGGAAGAAAAACGAACCAAATCAATCCCACTCCATGGCGGGGTTGCGACTGCCTCAGGCCGGCATTGGTGGGGCTTATCGATAAGTTCTCGTCACCGGGTGCATGCAATGCGCTGTCAACTTGCTGACTTGGTCCTGAACATCCTGTCCTCTCTACGGATCCATCCTATGCAATAATCCCAGTTATAGTGCGGTAAGGTGCAGAGCATATCTCATATTCATGACTCATTCGAACTTCTTTTGAGAAAATACACACATGGAACGTATACACTAAACGCAATAGATCTCGACAAACGCTGGTATACAAAACGGTCCCCGGTGAATGACGTTATTAGTGTCTATCCGCCGCCCACTCACACCCGAAAAGAATAACAGAAACTAACAGAAAAAAGCGGCCCGAGGATAACAGGAACATTCAAACAAAAAGGGGAATCATGTAACGAAAAAAATGAAAGGAAAAGAAAAACTCAAAATTAATAATTTTCATAATACTGTCGAGAGTAATATGGACCAGCATCTCTCAGGGACATACGTCGGCGCAAGGCATCGTCCAACCTCTCATCTAACACATCCAGCATTCGCGTCCGATAGTCTAACTGCTTCTCTCGGCGCTCGAGTCGTGCTTCCCGATCATCGAGAATTCGGGTACGGATATCGTTGCGAGCTCGTGACCCACGATATCTTTCGTCGAGCTCGGGTGTATCCAAATCCTCGGAACTAACAGGGGCGTGGATAATCTTCGGGCGATCTCGGGTCTGCCGAGCAACTTCTCGGCTATGGACCCTCCATAGTTGCTTGTCGGAATCCCTGCTGTCGGCGGGTATCACATCGACATAATCATTTGGGTACTTGGTGCGACCCTGCCTGTTGTCAGATGCACCTGAGGGTTGTTTCCGGTAGTGGGAGCGGTATCGAGATGGCCCAGGGCGCCTTGAAGTAGAGGAATGCCGGCGAAAGAGACTTCCACGCCAGGGCTGCGCTTCTTTGCGTGTCTCTCCCTCATGTTCAGAGTCATCTGTAACTGAGCTAACGTCTTCAAAGTCGAATATTTCAGAATCGTCATCCCCGATACTGCTGGAGTCGGGGGCCAATTCTAACTCTGGGTCCACCACGTTGGGTGGTTTGACACTACCTCCTTGGGCGACATTCTCAAAGGAACGAGATTCATAGGGGTGGGAGGGCTTGTTATTAGTTACTGCCCCCCCGGCTGGGCTGTACAGGTGATGGATTCCTAGGTGTTGCGCACTAGCGCTTGGAACGCCTCTGACATGCTCCTTTAAAACCTCACTACCTGGGCCATTCTCCGGAACAGCCTTCGCGGTGTGGGGCATGGCTACCTGTGGACGCTGGTGCGCACCCACAGGGACCCCTCTAACATGCTCCTTCAGGACCTCAACAGCGGGGCCTTTCTCAGGAGCAGCTCTTGCGACGTGAGGCATTTGTGGTTGTACGCCAGCGCTCGCCACGCCTCTGGCATGTTCCTTTAGGGCATCAATTGCGGGACCCTTCTCTGGAGCGGCCCGCGCGACGTGGGGCATGGCTGCCTGTGGGTGGACCCCGAAAGAGAAATGAGCCGGAACTCCTTGTGGCAGATGTCCATGGTTAACCAATGGCCTTCCCCCTGCCTGCTGTGCCTGAGGCTGAGGAGGGGGTGGCGGCGGTGGCGGAGCTTGCTGAGTGAACTCAGGGTTAAGCTGCCGTGGGACATTGTGCACCTGCACCATGGGGGGTTGTTGTGCATGGCCCATATTAGGCCTTGTCCACTGAGGGACAGTTTCAATTTCCGCGTCCAATGGCCGAGGTTCATCGATGACCACGGGATTTTCGGCCTTCGGCTCAACCCTCTCCTTAGGTTTGCTAGGTAACTCGAACTCCACTTGCGCTACCTTGGGACGCGAAGAGGTAATAGGCTTCCCCATGATCACAACGTCCATGGAAACGGTCTCATAGTCTCCGCGCTTATTGTTCTTGCCTTTCATCTGTCGTTCTTCTTCCTTGACATATGCACAAGTCCACTCTAGGTGAGAATCCTCCTTCTTGAGCTCGTTGATGAGTTGGTCCACATGGGTGCGTTTTGCCTTTGAAAGGGACTGGTACTGTTGGACGCCGGGGAGCTTCTTCGCCCGTTTCTGGACCATGCCGATCAACTCCGCTTGCGTCAGATGCATTTGGCTCCTTTCCACCTGGTTCCAGGTGGGCTTTTGACCAGGGGTCGCATCTTTCTTGAAGAAGGTAAACCCAATATAAAAGTATGGGCGCGAGTCTGTTACTTTTGCCGCGGTGGAGTCCTTTGCCGGGGTAGAGTCGGACGCTTTCTGCCGATTGCCTGAGGCTGCTCTCTCTGTAGTGGCATGCTGGCGGGCCATTGCTTCGGCGACCTTGGCGGGATCTATAGAGCGCGGGGCGGTATTATGGATCGCACGAGAGGCCCCGGGGTATCCTTCTTGTTGGCCTCCTTGGTGTCCCACTTTGTGACTTCCAGGATGGACTCCAGGGTGACCTCCTGGATGACCAGGGTGGATAACTGGATGGCCTGCTGGATGAGGTGCTGGATGAGACGCCTGGTGAGCTGTCGCGTGAGATACTGGGTGAGGTGTGGGATAGGAAGCTTGGCGCGCTGCTGAGTGGGCGAATGGATAGGCCCCCGGATACGCCGACGGATGGTAGAGACCTGCTGGGAGTCCTTGGTAAACAGCTGGGTAGAGAGCTGGATTCACCGGCTGTTGAACCGCTGCATGGTGGGCGGGAGGCGCCGACGGCGTGGTTTTCTGGTTAATGACCGCCATTTCCCCGAAGGACTCCGCCTGTAGCAGGAGCAGATCGTCAATGAGTAAGACCAGACGTAGTAAGCCGTGCGTAGACAAACAATCGCAAGACAAATCGGACAAGGAGGTATATGGCAGAAAGACTACTATACAGGAAAGAAGCAAAAGGAAAAGAAAGTCTTCGAACAGAAGTCGAGGGTCAAAGCATATTATAATATATTTCTTCTCCTATCTGACCTACTCAAGAGGGGTAAGTCGGCTTTTTCAGGTCCAGATATTCGGCAAGTCTAGGACAAACACAATAATAATAATAATAATAATAATAATAATAATAATATGGCTGTGTTTCAGACCGTGGAAGATCCTTGTAATGTACTGTACTTCTGCCTGGTCATCTTTAGCTTTTGATGACTGCACGTCCGACGGCAGGGAAAATCCCCGACCTCCCAGGGTGATTTCAACCAGAATAAGACTAGTATTTCTCTTCACCATCATTGGCGGATTCACCCTCCATTACACACAAAAGTCCAGATCTCAGAAGAGCACCGAGCACCAGTGCCTGTTGTTTTCTCTTCACTTCCTTCTCCAGATAGCGCCCTGCAACACGAGGTGAACAAGGCGCAGAAGCACCCGGGCACTGTCAATAGTGAGGCTGCTGTCACGCACTCACCTTTTCCTTCGGTGACAGAATTCGAAAGAATGGTAATATAATGTATTGGAGGGGGAATCCTCAGCCGCAGGAAGGGTGGCTATGCGAGACGTCCAAGGCGATTGGAATCAAGAAGATAAAAATACGGTGACAATAATAGGCTACAGCCATCTGCCTGCAAGCAGCTCGGAAGTTGGGTAGAAAATTAGGGTATTCAGCCGGTCAGCTGTGTTACTGCCACTGCAATATTTCTTCAGGCAACAAGGACACTGTTACTGTTCAAGTCCTCAGAAGTTATACCATAACGTAACCCGACGACCGTTGGTGAAATCAAAATGAGCCTTTTTTTTTTTTCTTCTTCTTTTCTAACAACACTAGACTGACTCAGGCCCTCCATTGGGTTTTCTTCTGTGACGAGCGATGCAGGCGATATGCAGCTAAGACAGGCAAGCAGGCACCCATCGCCTAAGAAAGTCTGAAAGGTGTCCTTAGCGTCGAAGCATTTCAAATCCCCCTCTGATGTAGGATTACGTCCCATAGCATCAGATCAATGCAGAAAAGCAATGATGATTGTTTATTCAGTGGTGGACAGATTTGTGAAACTAGTTCAAGTGGTACTGCTTCTTGCTTACTTTTTTTTATTCAGCGTCGCACACCCGGGCACGTTTATATATAACTTAATTTTTATTTATTTATTTTTCTTTTGAAAAGAACGAAAAGTCCCGTCAATCTTCCTAGATAAATATTTATTTATTATTACTTCCACAACTCCTAAACAGATTTAAATCTCTCAAGATCCTTGGACACGACCCCGGTCCCTCGTGCATCGAAAATTTTTTTTCCTTCCCATCGCCCACCCTCCATCACACTCCATGGGAAATGAAAGGTACCAATCGACGTCCGCGTTATATTCTAATCCCCGACGATCTCTGCAGCGTCCCCGCATACATTGTGACGAAATTGCTTTATGATAGGCCAGAGAAAACAGCAGACAATTTAATGGAGGTATACAATACTATGCCAGAGGCCACACACAGTCCATTATTCTTTTTTTTTTTTACCGCTCTGACTCATTTCGCCTTGTTGCTCATGAGTGAAACACTGGAGTGGCAGTCCTTCTCATGCCCGATATTCAAGTTCAGTCCTTCTAAGAAAATAAGGAAAGAAAAGAAAAACGAAAAATACCAATTTCACGACTATCATCTTCTACACCATTCTCTTCAAGGAGTAGAGGACTTAATCCCTGCCGTTAGTTCATGTACACTACCCGTAGTTAGGGCAAAGTGGAGATTTGTCCTAAGGTTCCCTCCAATGCTTTCTGCATTACATACATACATGGTACATAATACATACTTACATACATACATACATACATAGATACACAACGTACCGGATGTTCAAGGAGAAAGTTAACTTCCTAAGTCCGATCGGTTTTGTTTTCCTTGACAGTTTTTGGTCTAAGTTAGTTCCGGATCTCGCCTTGTTGCTGGTTGATTTGAGCATTGATAGACTACTTCCCTCCGTAGGACCGAGGGTGGTAATCTTGATTCTTAGTTGTGCTGACGAATGGTTTTACTTCTGTCACCGCTCTTTTTGGGGGTGGGAAATGAAAGAAAGTATATTTAAAATTAAAATAGCCCTAATTGATGGCTAGTGATTCTATGAGCTGGTTCACGTGAACAATACATATTCTGGGATTCAGGATCAAGATATTCTTCTTGAGATGAAGGGGTGGCGAGGACTTGAGATAAGCCACGAATGGATCTATAGGTGAGGATTATATGAATAGAGTTTGTGATGCGGTGGTTGATTCATTTCCTAAGATCGAAGCTACCAACCTCGGTAGTCGGTACCAGGAAAAGCGTACAGGCTAGTAAATGAGTTGGTGTAGAATCAATGTTTAGTGGTAGTGGTAGTAATGACAGGGATACTTGTTACTTTTGTAAGTCTCCATATTTAAGATATTTCTGTTATATAAAGATTCTAGGTTGTATAATTTACTAACTGCGCTCTGACAGGTGTCTGGTGTAGACATATCAAGCAAATTCTGATTAGCTACTCTAGAGAATGATGACACGGTCAACACCCAGCCAGAAATAGCTATTTTTGACCGCGTTTTGCGAATTGTGCGAACTGTTGTTGGTACTTTCGTCTCTTCTGGTCAGCTATCGCTGATATCTAGTCGCCGGGTCCTGAGGCGAACTATTCAATCTATCCGTATTGTTATATTTGTCGATGGAATGGACATTCCTGGAGCATACTTGATAGAATCCTCTCAGAATTGATTGGATCTGAGATTCTCTGGACAGTTCGCTTCTCATTTGAAGAAGAGGACATTAATAACATGCATACCGATGCTTGGATCACTAACGAATGTCAACTCAATAACATAACCAAGCAGACATGAAGGATATCCATACTGGAATAGACTTGCCATATGTTAATTCCACATGACATTTGCACCACACCCATCTAGCATTCGTTTCCCGTTGACTCAAGCGTGTTCCCCTTTTATTGCTTTTCTTTAACCAATTTAGCAACAATTTCTTCCTATAGAAGCAAACAAATATATATTATCGGGATCATCACGAGAAGCAGAGCATTCCCTCAATTCATATTGACCCAGCAGCAGCGCATCGCGAATAGCCCGTTGGTGTCTTCGAAATGGCTGTGTACCAGTTTCCATTCCTGACCCGCACATCGAAGTGAAACTGGTGGTGTTCGTATCTCATCTGTTCAGCGAACGACCTCTCCTTCAAGGCTGGAACATGTCGAACTGAGAGGCAGATATTCAGGACACCTCTGCTTAATGCTCTATCATTGTTACTTTTGAAAACATAGCTAATAAACCACTTCAACGTTGAATTGTTGGCTTGGGTTAATCCCGGTGCTAAATGAGTGTGTCCATACAAGCGATGCATCGCGTTCATAACTTCATCAAAAGCAAAACAAACAAGCAAGAAGCTTCATGCCCTCCAGCGCGAGCCTTATCCCAGTAGTCTGATTCAAACTGGACATCTGGTATCCAAGTGTCTGGTCATTTAGAGTTGAACAGTGAGGCAGTTCAACAAGCCCTGTGACGAGTTCATGAGTATTTCCATTAAGTATCTCCGGCCATCTTACTTACAATTCCATTGGTCTCGCAGCAGGCTGCCTGGTTGTTACAATTTCCCACGAGAGCTAGCATACTATTAGCGAGAACACAAAGTGTAAAGACAGAGCCATTTCTTACGGAGACAAAGCACAGGAAGAACATTCAGATTCAGAATGCCGTTAGTCAAACCAGTGCAGCATTTATTGGCTTGCGCAGCAGTGCATTGGGACGGAGTGTCACCAGTGGGCGTAGCGCTGGCAATGGTGAAGGTAGCAATGAGGGCAATGGTATGCAGGAACTTCATGGTGGCAGATTGAGTTCTTTGTGAGCCTAAGAAGAAGCGGGGGTGCAATATTTCTTTTTGAAGATGATAAGATGCTCGAATTCTGTTGCGTTGAGGAAAAAAGAAAAGTGGTAGAAAGGTGCGGGTTTATGGAGGCTTATATAGCTTGCTCGCCCAAGATACTGTCCGGTTTGGGTCATGGCTTGTAGGCCAGCTGACTCGGTATACCAGTCATCATTCCGGTTTCTATAAATGAGTAGATACAAGAAATAAGATCTAGAATCTGTAACGTGATCAATCCTCTGGCGTCTCGCCAATGAGCATTTTTTTTCATAGGACAAAAGCTAAATGCACAGAACATGCTTCTCGACACAGTCCAAAACAGTGTCAGTTAGCACAGCCTAGTTGGTCAATCGGCTCTTCCTCTAGATAACCTAAAGACTTCTGGAGCACTGGATTTACTGGTAAATGCTTTAACTCAGTGATTCTGCCTACAACGAGAGCTACAGGCTCATTCCCTAAACTATACCTTTTGTTATTTCCCAAGTCTCCCTTTATCCCACGTCAACGAATGCCAATTCATTGCTATCCTATACAATGCCTTTGAATAACTGTTACGAATTAGGGATGAAAGTCTTCACGAAATCACAACAGGCCTCGCTCCAGGCCGCTTGTAATGGTACTAGTTGCACCAGATTGACCACACTCAATGTAGGGTTGCACCTCATCTTGCATACGCAGTCACCTATCACCGGCTCAATTTCCAGACCGGAGCATCATTACGTACTACTGTTACTCATAACTTGCGCCGAAACCAGGAAACGGCGATGTTGAGTGAGACGATTGCCTACCTATAATCATGTCCAGGAGCTATCTTGCCTGCCGATTCGCTAGGACCTTTGTCTAGTCAAGTACAGTTTCTCGCTACTAAAATCTATGCCAGTTACACTGGTCATCCTAATGAGGGGAACATGAGCATAAAAGATCGCCACATTCCCATCCCCTTGGAATCTACTGGTGGTGTTTCATGGCCAAGGCGGGGTGCGTCTTTATCCCTTGCTTAACACTGCGGAGGGTGATGATGAGCCCCAAGATAATAAGCTCGTTGCGACAAAAGTCGTTCACCAACAAGTATCTGGTCCTAAACTTCGCTTTTGTCAATACCAGCTGACATTAAGGGCCTCGCCTTGCTATGTCTCGTGTAACCCAACGATGGGCTTACCTCGTCCTAGTAGACAGCGTCATGGTGCCCGATTTCTGTTTCCATTCTAGTAGAAATACTTGTCTCGACAATTCCTGTTCTTGAGCCAGCTGTACAGTAGGTAATGAAGATGAGGAGCGGCTGTTTTCTGGGTGCCTATGGTGATCTGATATTGTTGTGCTACAACGTAAGCCTTCCTGCGACTTTGCCTGATGCTCACACATCTCGAACTTCCTCCAGCATTCAGATGTAAGAGCAGAGCCACCCTTTGCGGTTCGTAGGTCTGGTGACCATCTCGGCTTAGTGGCGTTGGCTTACTCTCCCTATCGGTATTTAGTACTTCGTACCTCTTCGTATAGAAACAGGCAATGTAACAAGAGCTGCATGTTTCGTATGGGAGTAGTGTTCTCGTGCCAGTGCTCTGAAGAATGCCGTTGACAACTCAAAGATAAAGTCAGTGATGGCTGAGAGATTGAAGCCATGCGTCTTATATCTGGCGGCTGGAAGGAAATCTAGAATCAGGTCAGTCACTCGTAACACATCACAGAAGACGAGCTTCATAACTAGAAAGCATGGTAAGCAAGATACTTTGTGATCCATCTACTGAGAATCACTCTAGGCTCTCATGCAGTCACTCCTGTTTCTGCAATTTTAGTTAACTAATCGATTGATATAGCTACGCCTTGGATACCTAGCTGTATCCTTAATCTGATGGCAATATGTCCAAGTATGAGCGGAAATCATAATGTTGCAAGTAGTCCACCCACTCCCTAAAATAGTGCAGAGGCCCACGTATCCGTAAAGTCACTGAGAGACAGTTAAAACTAAGCACAGTTATGTGCGGTCTGAGCGACCCGAGGGCTTTCTTCCTTCACGTCCTTCAATTTGACCAATTCAGCACCAAATCAAAGACGTCGTAATTGTTCCAGTTTCTCGACCTTGCGGCCTGGACATCGTTAACCGCCCTTGACAGGATCACCGGAACCGCCTTCTCGCTCAACCCACCATGAGATCGCAGGGGAAAGTCCATTACACTGGAGAGGTCATGCTCCGACCTACAACTCCCAATGACCGTCGACGACGTCGAAATGACCACAATGTCTCCTTCCCGATCTAAAGGCATTGCGTACTTTTTCGCCGCATCCTCTCCGCTAAGAGCAACCTCTGTTTCTGTCAAAGCCTGGCAGAAAGCAAGCGCCGGCTCCAACAGGGTCTGATTCCTAAGATAGACGCGCACAAATGATCCAAGTGCCCCATGGTGGCGCACGAACGGGTCCGTTATGGGGCAGATCACCCGTGTTGCATTCTTGCCAAACTTTGCGTTTAACACATCTTGGAGGAACAACACATTGGGCTCTCCCGCATCGTTGGACTTGCGACTCATTCCGTGGTCACCAGTCACGCCGACAACCGCCATCGCAGCCAGCTTTGCCAGTCGTTCGTCAATGGTGTTCATAAAGTCATCAGCCTCCGGACTACCAGGGCCGTGCTTGTGTTGCACATAATCAGACAGCGTCAGGTAGAGAAAGTCAGACTTATCCTCCTGGAGTAGCTTAATGCCAGCATCCAGTACATACAGGGACAGGTCGGCAGAGTATTGACTCGGAGCAGGTCGTCCAACCCATTGCTCGACGTCTGTGATCCCGTTTTCCGCCAGGGTGCATTCGGCAGCTTTCTCCGCCGAGAAACAAACGGCGTCATCTTTCAGCCCGTGGGCGAGGATCTTCCGCAGTTTATCTTTGGCCGTTACGGCTGCTATGCGAACTCCGCGCTGTGACATCTGCTCGAGCAGCGTGGATCCGCGGAGTAATGAGTCGTCGCAGATCATGGTTTCTTTGCCGGTCGAGCGGTCTAGGAAGAAGTTGCCCGCAATGCCGTGAATGCTTGGGGGTGCACCTGTAATAATTGAGACATTGTTGGGGTTGGTAAATGAGGGCATGCAGCTCTTTCCGGTTGCATGAAATCCGTTCTTCAGGAAGCTGGCGAATGTGGGGAGTAGGCCTCTGTCGAGTCCGGATTGGAGATACTCTGGGTCAAAGCCGTCGATACATACGACGACCGTCGGGCGTTTAGGGAGGTGATACTCGCGAAAATGGAGGGTGAAAGTTGCTTGGGGGTCTGCTGCTATCAGCGTTGGAGATTCCTATTATGCAGGACATATACTGACTAGGATGTTCCATCGTATAACGCAATGCTTCCTAGAAGGCAATAGGTAGGGATATTGATCCTAAACTGGGAAGAAGCTATGAGATTATTCCATGTCGTGAGATACCAACACTAAATATACATACTCAAGGGACGAAGTCCGACTTTTGTTCCCCACTTGATTCTATAGCCCTCGCAAGTCCGTCCGGTTTGAGATGTCGCGCCTATCGTCGGCTCTACTTTCTCGGTACGAAAACCGCACATCCGGTGCGAAGACCGCGGAGATGAGCGAAGACACTAGCCACACCAGAATGACGAAATAACATTTACTATTATCAGCGGGCGTAAGTTCCGATGTTGGGTGTAGCTTCAGAACGAGGTCAAGCTGCGCACATATCTAGACACCGAATCCGGCCTGCAGATTCCAAGTAGGAGAGAGGATGAGCAACGGGGGAGTGGGAGCGGCGTAAGCTGGATAGGGTTTTGTTTCTTGTTCTTTGTTTTCGTTGGTTGTCTTTGCCGGAATATCGACGTCGTAGAGCGCGCCAACTAGCCTCACTGTATAGAATAGGTCATTTATTTTCTCCATAACAAGTATGCAAGGCGAAAATGTACATATACCAAGAAGAACCAGGATGCTACACGCTCTTTGCTAGCCCGTTGCCCGTGTGATACACGAAAACGACAGACGGTGGTCTAGACTCGGAGGTTCGAAATCTATAAAATGCTTCAGTATAGTAGCTCTCTATCAGTAGCACATATAAAGTCAGGAGTTATCAACATACCGCATCTAAGAGTAACCTGGTAAGCAACACCGCACGTTCGGTCAAAGGCAGCCTGGTTTGGTGTTGCTCAGGAGGTTGTCGAGTTCTAGGAAACTTTTGATAGAAAGCATAAAGAAACTGTCTTCTCCGTATGTTACACATGTGTTACTGAGCAAATTTCAAAAGAGGTCATAAATTTACTATTGACAATCAATAGTATAGAACCGCTGTTCGGCACAGGAATTTTAATTATAGGTGTTTTCTATGACGCTTAAACCAGTAGCAATTCTAGGCTGTTCGTTGAACGTGTAGAGCTTTAAGACATTTGCCGACTAGGTATACAACCAAGTATTCCTAGTAAAAGCTTTCCTTCTGCTAAGCCTTACTCGACTACCGTTATTGTTTACTATCCTAGATTTGAAGCCAGAGTTCCTGAGAAGGCCTCGGAAGTTTAGTCCGTTGATCCCATGTTGAATTCCTATATCTGCTATGATCAGCCAATGAAGCTACGGACTATTACTTATGTCAATACGACTAGTATTTTAGGGTGATTCATTTTGGGAATCTAAGAGGTAGTAGCTGAACTCAAACTCCGGTATTCAGCCGGGCGTTGAAAATCATGTCGATCACTCTTTAATAACTTGTCCATAATATAGCTTCAAAGAACCCCAATGAAGCTCTGTACAGTGAAAGGCAGTATGGACACAAATAACAAAATAGCTCAACTAGACATGTAACACAGTTGGGCAAAGTAACCCGTAGCTACGACTTTGAATGCAGAACCATCAAATCTCTCGAGTGCTCTATACTTCATTCAGGAGACTGTCTTGGCATATCAAATATATAAGGACATCCATCTTCCAGCATAGAGACATTTGTTTATCAACCCAAGCCATTCATTTTAATTTCCTAGTAGTCAGTTTTCTTTATAATTTCATTTCGTCTAGTGCTGGTCACTTCTAATATTTCGAGCACCGCAAAAATGAGGACTATCAATTTCTCTGTTTTTGTTCTTGCTTTTCTTTTTGCGTGCCCTGGAGGTGCGATTCCAATCGATAGCGATACTGGTGTCAGTGTGACTCCCGCTTACAACGGTTCGGCTCCTGGATATGTACTCGATAACGAAGACAATGCTGGTGATGCTGGTGCCATGGCCATTTCAACCGATGGCGACGAAACGTCACCTTGGGTTAAACGAGCTCCACCAGACTCCCAGTGGAAATTCGTTGAAGAGAAACCTCAGGGCGACAAGACCCTCCCTCCAGGATCAAGCGGCAATGCTGGCCAAGAGTTGGAATTCATTGAAGAGAGACCTCAGGACCCACATCGCCCCAAACAGTGGAAATTCATTGAAGCGAGACCCCAAGGTGACAAGGACCTCCCTCCAGGACCAATCCCTCAGGGCGACAAGAGCCCCACTCCAGGACCAAGCGGCAATGATGAACACCAGTTGCAATTTGTTGAAGAGAAGCCTCCGGGAGATGAGAAGTTCATTCCAGCACCAAGCGGCAATGATCGCCACCGGTTGCAATTCGTTGAAGAGAGACCTCAGGACAAAAAGGGCCCCCCTCCAGGATCAAGCGGCAAAGGTAGACAAAAGTGGAATGTCATTGCAGCGGGACCCCAGGCCGACATGGACCTCCCTTCTGGACCAAGCGGCAATACTGGCCACCAAGGACAATTCGTTGAGGAGAGACCTGAGGAGGATAGACCCCTTACTCCACTACCAGGTGGCCATGATGGTCGATTTCTGAGATCTGGAAGAGAGCCTGAGTGGCGGTATGGTGTAAGTCAAACCACAAACCGATCGCTTATCATGGAGCTGACTGTGAAAGACCTGTCACCATTCAACAAACAAGCGTTTCCCACACGGTCAATGCGTTGTCCAAATGGACATCCCCCGACCTATGCTTAAGAGCGACAGCTTGGAATGGCACGTTTCCTGTAGTGCGGATCACCCGGTAAGAGCATTATTAATAACGTATCATTTATTGTGTATTATGTGTACTGATCCTAGCAGTGCGGAAGTGAAGGGATAGGAGCCTGTACCATAGATGTCAGCGACAAGTATCATGTCCCTCATGCAGAGTGTACCTGAATGGGTCCATGAAAAGAGAAGGTCAAATGTGGTTGCTGCGCATGTTATGCTAGAGAAATATAGTATATAGCTCCCTTCTGAGCATGGTGTAGGGGAGGGTATTATGGTGCTTTGCTGGAAGCAGGGAGGGACACTGTGGTTCGATATTATACTACTTCCGCCTGTGTTATCCGTCCGTTTGATTGATAGAGTGCTATAATCAACTGCGTCTTTGGGGATAAACAAGATTCATGTATCCAGCTCAATCTTAATTGAGCTTCACCAAACTTCATTCGCGCTGAAGTCTCTCGGCACAATTGAATAGTCCAACGGTATGCTCTAATTTGGAAACATCCTGTATATTGAAGACAGGCGTCAGACTCCCTGCCACCGAATGAATCACTAGTCTAAGTATTACCGCTTAATTTTATTTACTCCTTGCCAAACCTTCCGGAAATAGTATCTCTATCTATACTCTTGTTGTTCCCCAAGCCCTAATTCCAACATACGGCCATTGTGAATTACCCCTATTCGGTATATTGTGGTATGTACATGTACGAAGCAAACCATAACCAAAACCTGGTTGTATTACAGTACATGTCTTAGGTATACAGTTGGAATTCAATTTCTTACTAGGCTATGCAAGCCTCGGAAACTAAGCCCTAGAAACAACGCTATCTAAGCTATGCCTACCAGATTCGCCCCTTTAATGAATCAAAGCTGCGCCGCATACTCTCTGACTGGCTGTCAATTCTCACCATTCCCTTCGACAGTATCTGCATGCCGAAAACTATGTATCACTAGCAATGGCTTCATATGTCCTGGAAGGTACCAACAGCTCAGCATGATGCCATCCAAGGCGCCGTAGAGAGACAGCTTTTATTGCTTTTATTGCTGCTTCTTTAGCAGCAAAGCTAGTCCAGAATTAACGTACCCTAACTGTCAGTCTCCATAGTGCTTGGTCATACACATTGCAGTACGTATCTAGCTAGATCCTTTTTCAATAGTAAGAGAGTATCATGCCGCTATTGAAAAGCATCAAGCTCCGATGGACAGAAGACCCGTTTGCTGAATCGCCCAACATAATTTGGGTTCTCACGGGTGAAGATCCGTCTGATTCTGGGAATATGGTATATGTCGGTACCAAGACCGAGAGAGGTATGGAAAGGGAAATGATATCAGTTTCCGGCATTTCGGTATAGTGGCGCAATTTAGGTTACTCGGTAGATTAATAGTTGCATTGTGGGGCTATGATCTCAGTTATCTATTTATAGGGAACGAATTAGTCCCCCGGCTTCTTGAATCTTGACTGGGGTGCCGGCTTGCTGGATTGCAAATGCCCTCTATCAATAACTTTAGTCAACTGCATTTTTCTAGGCTAGGCATACATACCATTAAAGCAAAGAGTGCTCCGACCCCGCCGAGGCGTCCCGATGGATTTCAATTGACCTTTTGATTCATTGCCCACACATCTCTCATGGTTTTCTCCACATAACCCCGGCGGCTGTTCCAAATCGTTTCCCACCAATTCGTTGGATTCTCACCGAGACGAGCTCCTCACAGTTCGATGACTGTGCGATATCCTTGAGGTTGATTGAGAATTCTCAGTCACATGAGAGGAATCCATCCCTGCAAGTGATGTGTATACACGAGATTACAGTGACCTCCGATGCGCACGCTGGTAGAGCGCAGAATGCTAGTCAAGAGATTTCATAATGTGCTGGACGCTACTAGACTCGGAATGCAAATTAAGCTACCATGAGCTTTTCTTCGTAGATTAGAAGTACTTTAAGCAAATCCTCTATTGGCTATAATGAATGACCAGATTTGCTATCTTCAACCCAATGTCTCATGTTATCAGTTTTTATACCTACCTTTATATTCCCTATCAATTTATACATCTATTGAAGCTGACCAGACTCGAGAATCTGGACTTTGGCACGGGGTGTACCCTCGTCAGTTCCGAGGGATTCGATCTTTTCCACCAGTTCCATGCCTTCAGCGACACGGCCAAAGACGACGTGGGCTCCATTCAACCAAGGTGTGGGAACCGTGGTGATGAAGAATTGAGAGCCATTTCTGATTCGCGGTGAGCATCCTGCCATCAACAAATGGATTCAACTTACGTGCCCGGGCCAGCATTGGCCATGGAGAGAAGACCGGGAACGTCGTGCTTCAACTTGAAGTTCTCGTCGGGGAAAGTTTCGCCGTAGATCGATTTACCGCCGGTGCCCTGTTCATCTTAGCTGTGATCACTATGTATAGTAACAATATGGGTCGCTTACATTTCCACGGGTGAAGTCACCACCCTGCAGCATGAACTCCGGGATTATACGGTGGAAAGAGCTTCCCTTGTACCCGAATCCCTTTTCACCGGTGCAAAGGGCGCGAAAGTTCTCTGCGGTTCTAGGTGTGACGTCGGAGAATAACTCGAAAATGATGCGGCCCTGGGGGTCTATGGTTATGGGATGTATCAGTAAAGTCATTCGAATGGGGATTTGTGTGCTGATTCTTACTGCCGTTGATTGCGATGTCGAAGAAGACAATAGGCCGGGACATGGTTGCCGATGAGTGACGTATGGATAATTTTCTGAAGATAAAAATAAATGGTCGGATGCAGGATTGCGTTTATCGCAATCGATTTTTATTTATACCAGATTTAATCGCGGGGTAGTGGGGATGACGTACTAGCTTGCCTGTTGATTTTCGCGTAATACCCCAGAACTCTTATCATTGGGCGGTTTTTATTTTCGACATCCACTTTAGGACGGGAATCAAAATGTAGCTTATACGGAGTACTTCGTTCTTGATTATCTTATCACAATAACTACATTGCACAACGAAAACCACATATAACCAGTCAATCATTCACTCCTGGTGGCTTCTATAAAATCAATAACGTCCTGGGCTGTTCGTACAGGTCTGAAAGTAGCATATGCAAAAGAAAAAGTGAAAAGAAAAAGAAAAAGAAAAAGAAAAAGATAGACACATTGAGACACTTACTAGTTTCCATTCTTTCCACATATTCATCCGTAATCTCTACCCCAAATTCCTGACAGCATCGTCAGCAAATCTATGGATCACGAAAAACCATCAAGGACAGGGCGTTGTGGGTAAATGGCCCCCCTACTACCTCTTGAAAGACTACCATAAGCTCGTCAATGTCCAATTCATCGGCACCCAGGTCAGTCACAAATGCCGCATCATTCATCAACTGCAAGAGATCTGTTAATATTAAGTAACATAATAGATAGATAGATGAAGGTCACTTGCATCCTCCTCGTTGACGCTGAGTTGCTCTGAAACTAAGTACTTTTACTCTCTTCTCAAGATCGGACATATTGTATTCGAAGATAGTCAAGGGCACTAAGAAGATTCTTGATTGAAGCGACGAAGTCGATCGGGCAGCGTGAGGTGTAAATATTTTACATTCCATCTTGAATGCGAGTGCCATATTTAATACTCTTTACATGGGGCAGCCCCTCATTGCTTCTGAATCTAGTTATCCTTCAACTTAAATGCTATCGTTGGTTCGTAATATGTCAGCGTCCGGGTATATTTTCTGAGAAAACCATCAGCACCTCAAGACCGGCATGTACAATGAGAAAGAATTGCCGTTGGATCAAGACGCGTGGTAGAGATGATCACACCTGAGATTTTCACAACCATTCCCATGGTTTCCTGATGACACAATACCTCATGCAATAAGGTCATTGATGGGGCTGGTGGGAAATATCCTGAAATCCGAACGCGATGGTCTTCATTAACTTTGCTCTTGTATTCATCGCTCAGCGTAGACTCTGTTTTGCAACTATGCCGCGAAGACATGCTTGGGCCTCTTTATCATGGTACAACTACCTATCTACAGAGTTTGTTAGTTCTCAAAGCGAATGCGTCTCAGTTCATCTATCTATTTTCTGAGGTGCCCTCCCAGTGTGTGTTGCCCTTGGAGGACATTGATGTCAGTGGGATGAACTTGAGTATAGCTGCGCCTCTAGACAATAGCTATAGACGCGATCTACCCAGCAGTATAGCTATGTTTCTTTCAGGGCTGTTGGAAATACGATTGGCAGTTTCTCATCACTTGAATATGACTCTTGAGCTTCTATGCCGATGCGATCTGCTTCTTGATATGGAACCGAAAGAAGAAATGAGTAAGGAAAATCGGAGATCGCCTCAAAGCTTGTTCAAATACAGAAGCCTACTAGTAACTGCCGTGAACTTCATTGCGATACAAACCCATATCAAACTCTCCTATACGTCTACAAGGGACCCAACTAACTGATCGCACTACTGCGTTCGGTCATGCAATGGCAACCACCTTCGGCCCCACGTGCCCCATCATTTTGATCATGTAATTAAGGATAATTAACAACTAAAAATGCAAACATAAGGTTAACAATACGAAGTATAACTATAACCAAAGCCAGCCATACTGGGTATTGCCTGTTTAACCTAACCTAAAACATTACTACATCTGTGTGGTATAGCTATGTTTGAGAGCTTACCAGGTCTGACAGGCATCAGTTTAGCTTATTGCTATGGAACCTTCCGGCCATCTAGCCTGTACCATGGATCACTGGTTCAGCGAGACGTCTCACTTGGATAAAATACAAGAAATGTAATTTACAGGAACATGGGTTTTCCGTGTATTATCTCAAGAGAAGTACGAAGTATAGGTACCGGTTATCGCTGATATGAGTAGGTAAGAGTTAGGCTGAAATCTGCGCTACGGCAAGGCATAAAATCCCTTGGAAACCTGTAGTACCGAAGTACTCCCGGAGAAACTCAGATTCGTCTTCCCTGGTAGATCGATGTGGCGAACTGCCTGGATTGCTGATTGTATCACATTAACCTGACATGAAAGAAGTGGCGTCGTAATCGATGCAAAGAGTAGGCCCGTCATGGATGAACGTGAGGCTTGAAGAACAAAGAAGATATAATAAAGGAACAAACAGAGCTCATGATCAACGTCGAAGACTGTCTAGCCTAGCCTGTAGATCGTCATCAGCTGAACTCCCCCCGGCACCAACCGGTTGGGCAACTCGAGTCTCGCCGACTGCAGTCTTCTGTATGTCGGTTGGCGTCTCGCCCAGCTGTTCAGAAGCAAATATTAGTATGCGCACAGCTCTGGCGTAGACGAAGAAGAGAACACGAACCGCCTGGCTGAGGTCTACACCTATTTCATCCAAGACTTCCTTAACAATATCTTCACTATCTTCATCCTCGCCCTCCATCCCTGTTGCTTCGTCAATCGCGTCATCCATCATTTCTTGTCGCTGATCCATAATATCGTTTTCTCGTTCAAATTCCATAGCGATTCGTTGCAGCGCGGGAAGGTTCATTTGTCGGTTCATACTACCCAGTAGCATTGTGGCACCTTTCATTGACTGCATCATCTGCTCATTGCTGCGAACGGTCTGCACAACATCAAGTGAGTAACAGGAACCGCCATTCGTGCGCTTCGGGACCATCCTACCTGAATGCGAAGGGAAATCGCTTGAAGTTGTGTTCGCATTTGGTAGAATTTCTGGATGTACCTAAATCCGGTACACTCCATTAACCCATAGCCATGAAAGCAGAGCGCACTTCCTTTGGTATGCATACCGTCTTGTCCTGACCAGGTCTTTGGCCTGGATCTTGCAGGCTCCAATCTGACCATTTTTGGCGCTCTTCTTGATGTCCTGCACCAGCTTCTTTTCTTGATTTTCCAGCTTGGTTCGCTCCCGGTCTAATTCGCGCTGCGTTCGGTCCAGAGCCCTTTGATGTTTGCGTAGGCGCTCTGCTGGTGTCATGCGCTTTCCGAATGCCCACTCGATAACCTAGACCATGAACAGCGTAAGCGGGGATATAAGTACGGCGAATAACAACGGACAACATACATTCATCTTGGGCAGTCAAGAAAGATTCTCAGTACAAACGGTGAAAAATGAGACCAAAGAGACTGCGTAGAAGGTACAAATGAAGAGAGCAAGATTGGGGAGGGGGAATATCTGATTCGATCCGAATGCCGCGCGGTGACATCAAACCTAAGCACTAATACACCGAACGGGCGGATCCAAACTGTTAAGTTAAAATTACGGGGGCAACAGTCACATGGCGGCGACCAACCCCTTTTGGGGCATGGAATTTCCACGCCGTTTTTTATGCTCATGTAAGCGGGTCTCCCGACTGACGAAAAAACAAGTTCCGTTTCATCGCATCTTGCCTAACTCTTCGACTTCCATGCACCACACATCCTTTTCGTCATGAGTCAGGAGTATTTTCCCGGCAACGGCGGTTCCTCTGCCGGTGAGGGTTCGTCAAGACATCCTCCGCAGCAGGAAGCGTCCGAGTACCCTTTCTTCCCGAACGCCCCTCCCGCGTACATGACCGTTGGAAATGGCTCGACCTCGGAGAGCGCTACGGCCTTGATGGCATCGTTGAACAGAGACTCGGGCTATGGTGACAGTATTGCGAGCGACAGTTTGAGGGATGGCAATGCGGGTGGCGACTGGAGATCAGATATGATGGTGGATAGGCCGACCCCGATGCATACTCCAACGCTCCCGGGACAATGGAATCCAGCAGGTTGGTTACTCCGAGCATCACCGGTATCTTTTTTCTGGCCCATATAGTTTACTAACACGGGTGTACTCCAGCGGAACATGAACGACAGGTTGTGGCGAGCCATGTTCACCAGCTACTCTAGTACGTTTGCGACTACAAAACAGCCGAATGAAAGTTCTAACCGCTTTGTAGCAACTCCAACAGGACGAAACTAGGACGCGCTATTACACGGACTCTCGAGACCTTGAAGGACCTCCAGGACATGAATCGTCAATGGCCGGCCCACTACCCGTCGGTACGAGATGCTCCAGATCATTCTTCGAACAGACCCGCGTTGCGCCAGGCACAATCATTCTTCGATGATGGGGACATTCAACAGGGAGAGTTCAAACCTGGACCTATTAGACGAGCGGCTACAGTATCAAATAGCGACGACCTGGCTGCAGCGGAATCAAGTGCCGCTGCGGAGCGTCGGCCAGCGCCAGAGCCGAGATTGATGACCCCGCAGATAGCGCAGGAATTTTCTATTTTGAAGCTAGACTTGAAGCTGGGTGCTCTGTCTCAAGTGGAATTGGTACATTCGTTGGAAAAAGCCTCTATTGCGTCTCTTTTGGACGGAAAGATCAGCCAGAGTGTCAAACACCTTCTCTCGCTGCGCGACAGGATCGAAGATACTTCAAGTAAGGTTTTGATCACAGGTGACCTTAATGCGGGAAAATCGACTTTCTGCAATGCTCTGCTGCGTCGCAAGGTTCTGCCTGAAGACCAGCAACCTTGCACCAGCATTTTCTGTGAGGTTCTTGATGCGCGGGAGAATAGCGGAGTTGAGGAGGTGCATGCAGTCCACAAGGACGTTGATTACAATCGCAACGATGAGAGCACGTACGATGTGTATCCCTTGACTGAGCTCGAGAATATCGTGATCGACAACTCTAAATACATGCAATGCAAAGTCTACGTTAAGGACGTGCGAACTATTGACGAGTCTCTGCTGAATAATGGGGTCGTCGATATTGCTCTCATTGATGCCCCTGGTTTGAATTCCGATTCCTTGAAGACAACCGCGGTTTTTGCTCGGCAGGAAGAGATCGATGTTGTTGTGTTTGTCGTTTCCGCTGCCAATCATTTCACGCTCTCGGCCAAGGATTTCATTCACAACGCGGCAAAGGAAAAAGCTTATATGTTTATCGTCGTCAACGGATTCGATCAGATTCGCGACAAGCAACGGTGTGAGCGAATGATTCTTGACCAAATAAACAAGCTTAGTCCCCGTACGTATAAGGAAGCTGCAGAACTCGTTCATTTCGTATCAAGCAATGCCGTTCCCGTTGCGCCTCCTATGTCTGTGGAAAGCTCTGGTTCCGGTGGTGGCGGCGGCTTCGATTCCGACGGGGATGACGATGACGACGATAGTAAACCCAAAGGCAAAGGAAAAGACAAAGGGAAGGATAAGCAGAAGATCCAAGATTTCGAGAACCTCGAAAGCTCCTTGCGACGATTTGTTCTCGAAAAGCGTTCTCGCTCGAAGCTCGCTCCTGCCAGGACCTATCTTCTCAACTTGCTTGGAGATTTGAACTCACTGGCCTCTGTCAATCGCGACATTGCCCAGGCCGAACTCAAGCGTGTCACAGAAGAATTGGCAGAGCTCGAGCCAGCTTATGAAGGTGGCCAGAAGAAGAAGATAGAGCTCGACGTGCAGGTTGAGAAAAACATTGATGATTCATGCGAAGATGTCTACAACCATACGCGGTCGACTTTGTCGGACACTATTGCTCGCGTCTCGGAGGCTGATTTGGGCGTTGAATACCCTGGTATCTTCTCTGCATTCCAGTATGCGGAAGATTTGAAGTTAGCCATGCTGGAGCAAATATCTGCAGCAGCTTCAGCTTGCGAGGACTACGCGCGCGTAAAGACAGTAGACGGTGTAGAAGCCATTCAAAAGATTGGTCTTCTTCACGTGGGAGACAAATTCGCACCCTTGAATTTCCGTGCCGATATGATGTTCCGCCGTAGTCGACGCCATACATTTGCCAAACAAGTCGACACCGAAGTTGAACTATTGGACTTCTTCGACATTGCTGGCATTTGGGAGCGCCAGGAGAAGGTGGCTGGAACAGGAATGGCCATGACGGCTGTCACTGTCCTCGGAGGCAGGGTCTTCGGCGGTATTAGCTGGGTTGACAGCGCGTTTAGTGCAGCTAAGTTCCTTGGCCCCAACAACTTGCGGCGCCTCTTAGTTCCGGGTATAGTCGCAGCTGGTAAGTGTTTACTTCGTACCGAATTCTTGAGGACAAAACTAACTTAAACAGCTGCTTTGACTGCTGCATACGTACTTTCTACGATTCCCACCACATTGCCTCCTCGCCTCTCCCGCAAGATCGCCGCCGCTCTTGAAGAGAAAGACTACGTACATTCAAACGCCACCCGGATCTCGACTGAAGTCCGCCGGGTTCTCCGTATCCCGGCCAACAATCTCCAAGCCAGTCTCGCCCAAGACATCGAAGACCTCGGAAGACGCAAGCAAGAAGTCAGCAAGACCAAGGTTGAAAGTGAGAATGCAAGCAAGTACTTCTCCAACCTCTTCCGGGACAGTGGTGAGAACAGAAGGTCTGTAGAGAGTATAGACCTTGATGGCCCGCTGCCGGGTGCAATGGGTGCCCATGAGCCATGAGCTTTGAATCTCCCTTGCGTTATATGTACAAAAAGTAATGATTCTATATGAGTTATCCGGCCGGCTGTGTCTCGAGGGTGCTAATTCTGTTTCGCTTCCCAAATATCCCTATCCTGTACAACAATTATTGTTTATCCGTTTTAACCCCTTCCACCTCACTTATCTTTATTTCCCCATTCCATGAGGCCGTGATTCACGTTGATAGCCGTCCTGTTTATACCTGCATTGGCGTTCTTTGAAGAACTCAGCGTATTGGATTCCCACTCTACCTGATGCTTTATCTAAAATCGTAGGTAGTCACCTATCTACACAGTCGATTGTTATTGCAGAGAACTTGTCATCTTTCCTGATCCAAAGCGTACTAGATAAATGATAATAGATGGTATCAATGAATAATTCCAAGAATGACCAAAGACGCCACTTCGATGCTATCTATGCCATGCACAAAACCATCATTAGAAACATGAGCATACACGCCTGACAAAGGTTTCCGACAGGATCTAAAAAGTATTATCCTCCGCAACCTTGCCTGCATTTCTCGTTCTCCGTCCAGACCCCCAACCCACATTTTCGAGTTCCTTAACTTCACCCACAATTAAATCCTGGTTAGCAGACTTTTTTTGGACGAGTTTACCGGCCTGATTGAGAAATTTCTCGCGCATTGCAACAGCATCCGGATCTTCGTAGTTCAATTGCGTCATTGGAGGCGGCGTTTCAGACTCCTCGTCTTCATTAATACGGTCTCCTTCGAGGAAATCGAATCTTCCGCTGTTGACGAGGGATGGTATCCCGTCTGTGTTGACGCTGTCTATTGCGCTTCCGCACCCGTCTTCGTTTAGGGTGTCGATTGAACTAGCGCGAGAGAAGCCTTTATGTTCGGTAGAGCGGACAGAGGCATGAGATGGCGCTCTTCCAAGAAGAGGTTTTCTGCGTCTTGAACGGGGGCGGTCACCGTTCTCTCCTGCGTCTGATGTGGATCGCGAGTTTGCTGCTCGTGCCTGCTGGAGGAATCCGCTCAGCGTAGTCTCGATTGCTGATAGGGAGGTTGGATCTGTGGCTCGTTCTGAAGCTGTGCGCTTTCTTGGTGATATGTATGTCGTGTGTTGTTGGCTTGGTTCTTTTGTGGGGGATTCCTGTATGGTGGGTTCTTTTTGTGGGATTTCAGACTTCTCCTGTAGGGGTGTTGAATGGCGCCAAGGGACTTTGTCTGTTTCTTTTGATGTTTGTCGAATGAGCTTGTTCGTTGGGGGGTGATCTGGGTAGGGCTGAGACTTGGTTGCGTTGTTACGTTTTTTAGGGTCCTGAGACTGTTCCTTCTGATCCGGGCGAGAGCCAGCTCGCTTTTCCGGGTCTCGACTGCTTTGTGAAATTGGCTTGCGAATCAGAAATGGCTCGAATGGCTGCTTTTGTGCTTTCTGAATGGTGATCCACAGCCAATCGACGGTGACTGCGGGAACGTTCCATTCATACGTATGCCGTAGCTTTTCTTGATTTGCAGAACCAGTATCATTACATAATAAAACAGATGCAGTTGGCGTCAGGTACTCATTATAGGTTGCCCCTACAATTGTTAGTTCACGAAGGAGACCTAGCATGTAGTCGGAACTTACCAATCAGACTTACAAGTTTCGATAAATGTAGAAGATCTATACGAGAGACTCCTGTAGAGCAGATTTTCATACCGTCGAGCCCTAGCCTAGTTAGTCTGCACAATCATACGTGAACAGAAAAGAGGGATTTACCAGGGATAGGTAATCGAGGAATTGGTGTGTTTGCTATGTGTGATTCTGGGGGTACTAGAGCCTTGGCATCAAGGCATCTTTCTAACCACATATCGGTTACAATTTCACATTCGAATGCTAGATCATCTGTGGAGGGAACCTGGGCTCGAGGCATTTTGTAGGGGACAATCGTGTAGAGACCATGGCCTCTCTTAGGAATGTCCGGCCGCGAGAATTCGCTCAATGAGCCGACCAACTGGGCTCCATTGAACGAAAGGTGTTGACGGAGGACATTCATCTGTAACTTAATCAGATGCTATAACAAAAAGATTATTGCGCACACAAACAAACCTGTTTTGAAGAGAATCCATGGATGAAGAAATAACAACCGTCCAAAAAGCCATCACGGTGACTGGTCGCTTCAGAGGATTGTTCTCGAGGCTTTTGGATCTTGTCATTGCCTTGCTCGTGGGCTTCCGCAAAAGTAGTTTCACTAGCGAATGACTTGGCCTCTTGGACCATAGATGCGCGTTTGGCGAGAAACTGACTGTCGTCTTTCTGTTGACTTCCTCTGGAACCTGTGCCTACGATATCACCCCAGATTCCTTCGTTCTGGTCTACCAATTTGGCACTTGCAACGCGGCGCAGCTTTCTAGGGCGAGGATTCGACGAACTCTCGTTACCCGGATCTTTTTGCCGAGCAGTAGGCTGTGCACGATTCCAGGCCCCCGCACCCTGCTGGTCGTCCGGCACAAGCGGGTGATACAATGTCTCCTCCAGGACCATTCCACGCTCTATACTGTCGGTGAACCATTTCACAGTAATGACCTTGATGTTCCATTGCGTTGCAAACTTGTACTTCTGACTCTCCGTATCTCGTGCGATAAGATGGGTGACTTGTTTCGTGAGATCTTTTCTAAATTCGGCTCCATGTACAACGGCCGTGTCTTGGATATAGTTTCGGAATGCCACTGAAGTAGTAAAAGCCTTAGTATGTGTCGATACGGCGTAGAATGTCCATTCCCACTTACTATCCTCGAATCCTGTTATACATATACACAATCCAGCGAACGTCGGGAATTTGTATTGTTCTTCCAAACCTCGGACGTCTGTATCCTCACCTTGCATCCATGATTGGCGGACCGCTTCTACCCACTCAGGCTTAAGGACAGTCACATCCGCTCGTTCTCGTGCAACAAATTTGTATTTCGCAGTGTTGATCTCGCCGATAATCAAATGGGTAACATCAGAGGTTAGGTCAAGTTTGAGAGTCGCTCCCATCTGGCGTGCGATTGTAGCCAACTCCGTCTAGTTTCGAAAATCTTTGTCAGTTGCCGCGACCAATTACTTGAAATGATAGTAGGAGAAAAGCCAGAGCATCAAAGATCTTCGAGGAAATAGCATTTCACTGACCCGTTGTTCTGGTAGAATGGACGTGAAGCACAAGACCACCCCCGCAAGAGGATGCTCCTTGTCTGCCACTTTATTAGTATAATGTCATAATATAAAATGTATACTTTACTTACTTGAGGCACCTTTCTCTGCCATACTTCATGATTGGCAGCGCATAAAAATAGCCTTAATCGCTCATCAATTGATTTGATACTTCCGATGCCGCATTGGCGCGTTTCCGTGATGCGCTATCACGTGATTATAGCACTTTAGAGAAGGCCCCGAACACACAAACGTAAGACGTATTAAGTTGGGGTCCTTAAGATAGGAGATCCTCTCACTAGTGATTCAAGTTATAGCAAATATTCTTTGTTTCTTTGATTTTCATTTCCAGCAAGTTGAAATCACAGTGAAATAATGAACTTGCCCTGTGTGGTAGCCCTTATCGGGATCACGTGTGATATGGAGCGCGTCTCATTCTAGAACGCGGGTCGCGAAAGTCCCCAATCAATGAGATTGGCTATATAATATTGATGTGCCACCGAATCATATTTCTCCAGTTTGCGTGCTTGTGTATAAAGGAAGGAACCTGGGTTTAGTTCGTCAAGCCTTTTCATATGATCTGAAATTGACATTGCAGGTTGCATGCAGATACTCGACTGCCCGACAAGCGCCGGAAGGGACCGTAATGTTCAAGAAAGCTGTACAAGACCATTCAGGAGGATCAGCTAAACCCCTTCAGTCCAGCCTTCTTCGCAGCAATGGGACGCAACCACCGAAAATACCGCCGCAGTCAGTAGGAGTCAAACGGAAAATCGAAATGGCCAATGCCGGCGGATCTGCCCTAGGGTCTTTGCACAGCGCCGTATACTTCGATGAGAATGATTTCGATGATGATCTTGACTTGGATAGCGAGGAGCCAGAGCCGTTTATACCACCGCCAAAAATCGTGAGACCGAACAATGAGAGGCAGATACCCTATCACGGTACAAATCCAACTACCTTGGCGACGCATACGAACAAGCCGGCTCAAGTATCAACGCCTGCGATAAAGAATGATGATTTGGAGATAAAGTACCCTGAGCTGCCTCCAATTCCTGATGATGATGATCCGGTACCATCCAGCAGCATACCAGTTCCTTGGTCCTCCTCACCACCCTCTCACTTTCAGAAACCTACCAGTTCGCGAACTCTACCGTGGCTTAAGAAAGAGGAGCCGGCGCCGGCGCCAGCGCCAGCAGTACAGTACAAGAAGCCAGAAACGCCTGCGCGTTCAAAATCTACTGCCATATGGAACAAATCGGCGAGCGCAATCAAGGAGGAACAAAAGGAACTACGCCGACAGTATAAAAGTCAGAAGTCCGATTCTGTGCAACATCGCCCACGTGCTAAGATCGCGTCTTTATTCCTCAGTGATGAACAAAAGCACGTACTTAATGCCGTTGTTGAACAAGGGAAGAGTATATTCTTCACCGGTTCCGCCGGAACTGGAAAATCAGTTCTCATGAGAGAAATCATAAAGAAACTTCGCGACAAGTACAGGAGAGAACCTGACAGAGTGGCAGTGACTGCCTCAACAGGTCTTGCTGCTTGTAACATCGAGGGTGTTACCCTTCATAGCTTCGCAGGGATAGGGTTAGGCAAAGAGCCTGTTCCTGAGCTTGTTAAGAAGGTCACAATCTGCACCAACCCCTACAGGAAGGTACTTATATTGACACATCACAGGTCAAGAGAAATCCCAAGGGCAAGAACCGTTGGCTACGTACAAAAGTTCTGATTATTGATGAAGTATCTATGGTTGATGGAGACCTCTTTGATAAGCTCGAGGAACTTGCGCGACGGATTCGAAACAACGGCCGTCCTTTCGGCGGTATTCAGCTTGTCGTCACCGGAGACTTCTTCCAATTGCCTCCGGTCCCTGATGGCAGTAATCGAGAGGCGAAGTTTGCGTTCTCTGCCGCTACCTGGAACACCTCTATACAGCACACAATCCTCTTGACCACCGTTTTCCGTCAAGCAGATCCTGAGTTTGCCAACATGCTCAATGAAATGAGACTTGGAAAGCTCAGTCCGCGGACGATCGATACCTTTAAACAACTATCACGGCCACTTGACTTTCATGATTCACTTGAAGCTACGGAACTGTAAGGTCACGCCATTAAAAAACTAAGCGGGCACTAACATAGAATCACCTAGGTTTCCAACACGCCAAGAGGTAGAGTATGCAAACGGTGCAAGGATGCAAAGACTGTCCGGCGAAGTGATGACTTTCAATGCCGCAGATTCGGGCACAATTCAAGACGCGCAGTATCGTGAGAAACTGCTGGCCAACTGCATGGCTCCTCAAGTAATACACCTGAAAAAAGGAGCGCAAGTCATGCTCATTAAAAATATGGAAGACACACTCGTCAACGGGTCAATTGGACGAGTGGTCGCTTTCATGGATGAGGCAACATTCGATTTCTACCGCGAGAATGAAAGCGACTTCGCTGGTGACCAGGGCGCCCAAAGTGATGAAGAGATGATGAATCGCTCCCGCAAGAAGCTTAAGTCTCTTGCTCACAAAGAAGGGGGAATCGTGGTGAGTAAGAAATGGCCTCTGGTCTGTTTTGTACAGCCGGATGGAACCGAAAGACACCTGCTTTGCCAACCAGAAACATGGAAGATCGAGCTTCCCAACGGAGAGGTTCAGGCTCAGCGTGCACAGGTCCCATTGATTCTTGCCTGGGCCCTGTCTATTCACAAGGCTCAGGGTCAGACGTTACAGCGGGTTAAAGTCGATCTTGGACGAGTTTTCGAAAAAGGTCAGGCTTACGTTGCTCTAAGTCGTGCAACGTCCAAGGAAGGCCTGCAAGTCACACGGTTTGATGCGCGAAAGGTCATGGTGCATCCCAAAGTCACCGAGTTTTACTCTAAACTCACCAGCATCACTGACGTACTCAAGCCAAAAGGCGGGTCACGGGCTATTCCTGGCCATTACCCTGAAGACGACTTTGAAGATGATTATCTAGACTATCTATAAGGGTAAGAGCTTTCACTCACCGTGGGGCATACAAACAATACTTCTATTATTACGTTCTTCATCTCTACCTTACATTTAGATATTGCTAAGAAGCTCCTATACGTTTACGGATATGCATGTAAAATGATACCATTGTGGGTTTAAGTTTGATTGGTGTTGATATCATGTGAGAGATGGAAGTCACATATACTAGCGCATGCACAATGACAGTTAAATTGAGACAAATCACATTTCTCACTAACCCTCCCTAGTTAGCACTGTAAATCCTATTGAAGTGCTATCCAAAGTAACCAACATAAGATAAAAACATCAAATTCAATTGGACGATCAAAAGTGACCGATAGGAGGGGCCTCGCCTCGTGGTAAGATTTGAAATGTACCGAACTAAAGTAGGAACCTTGTAAGCCCACCCCACTTGGGCGCGCCTGCTTATCGATAAGATATTTAGTACCGCACGTGACGTCGGATAAAGCTGTAGCAACGAGCTGACAATCCACTTTTGCGACACTGTACTACAGGACCAACATTTGCTCTACTTTTCCCCTGTTCCCTTTCGCCAGTTTTTGGCATGCTTGTCAGATAGGTGATAGTAGGGTGATTTTTTACTGAGTGACTGTTCACCATGGCTTCCGAATTCATTGGATACAACGTTCTTGTGACGCTCAGAACGCCGCCTAATGCAACCGTCCAAGGAGTCGTGGCCAATGTCATAGGTCAACGTCTGATGTTGCGAGATGGTAAGTGAAGAGGATTCTATGGCATTTTTTGTATCGCTCTAATATGCAGCTGCTAGTCGCACTTTCGTGGAGCCCCCAGAAATTTCCCACGTATTTCATTGAAGCTGCCGACATTGCCGACCTCTCTCTTGGACCGAGCCCCAATGCGCCCTCACACAATCAGCAGGCAAGCAGAGAGAACCATAGCATAGCCCATGCGCCCCCTACAGTACCGGTACAACAACCATTTGTTGACCCGGCCATCCTAAGCTTCAGCAAGCCATCTTCTGAGCAACTTAGCCAGGACGCAAGAACAGGAGGGCCACAGCTTCAGCCCGCTCCGATCGACCGATTGAGCTCTCCAGCTTCTCAAAATATCCACCCCCCGCATCAGGTCCATCGTGATCAGTCTGCTGTCCTTACAGAACCATTCAGCAACTTGGAACTGAACGTAGATGGCAGAGCAAAGGAGTCTCGCAATACACCGCAGGAAAACGAGTTGCACGGGTCTGTTCCTGTAGGCAAGGACGATTTTACGACTGCACCACGCCCTGCCGCCCAGGTCAACCCAAAGGGTGGTCGTCGCGTTGGTCAGAACAAGCCTCAGCGTGCAGGGTTAACGCCTGTTAATGAGCACGATGGTGCGGCGAATACGAACCCGAAGACCCGAGGGTGGCGTCAGACTGCCTTTGTAGAGCCTGCCAGCCCACAAAAATACAGAGAAAGAGAGCCTAACTCACGACGTCGGAAGAAGAAGAACCGCGGTTCTTATGCGGAGGATCTCAGTGGTTGGGCAACAGAAGATGCTACCGACATTCAAGAACTGGGTGACTTCGATTTCCAAAGTAATCTCTCCAAATTCGACAAAAGAAGGGTCTTTGAAGAGATTAGAAATGACGACACCACGGCAGATGAGGCACGGTTGGTCAGTTTTAACAGAAGGGTCCCCAAGCCGGGCACGAACGGTGGGAAGAATCTGCATTGGACTGAGAATGTGCTCGATAGTCCCCCGGGAAGTGAAACTGGAGACACTGACCAGGAGCCGAGTGACGCGAAACTGAGCAGCGGAAACTACTCAGGACGCGAGCTCTCAAGAGGGTCAGCACGAGCGCAGAGCCGGAAGGGAAGTGGCATTCTGGGACAACCTCTGGTTCCTCCCCAGATCAACACTGTTGGGCGTGGCCAACTCAGCGCTTCTCGTACTACCAGTCCTCGCCCTGGAAGTAAGGCTTCAGTCTCGGCATCGCCAATTAGCGGACCCGGTGTTCCTGGAGCTTCCTTGCGCCTTACTACCACGAATAGAAGTTGTCCGACTGTGAGCCCGCTACAAGCCCTCGAAGTCGAGCAGATTGCGGTCGCTGAACTTGGCCTGACTGAAGATATGATCACGGAAAACGCTGGGAGAAGCATTGCGGAAGCTGCCGTTGGCCTTTTGTCTAACGATGCCGCTGCGCCTACCATGCTTGTGTTGACCGGCAACCATCGTACTGGCGCAAGGGCCGTATCTGCTGCTCGTCACCTTCGTAATAGAGGACACCGTGTAACTGTCTGCATGCTTGGTATCGAACACGAAAATGAGTTACTCGAGAGCTGCCGCAAGCAGATTGATGTTTTCAAGAAGATCGGTGGACGTGTGCACAGATGGGAGGATTTATCAACACGGCTTTCGACCTCTGAGTTCAGTCCTGATCTAGTCCTAGATGCTCTATTCGGTATTCACATAGCCTTTGATGATCTCCGCACCGACGATCAAGCTGTGGCTTTTGAGATGATCGCTTGGGCCAACCGAAGCAACCTCGAAGTTCTGTCCGTTGACGTCCCTTCGGGCTTTTCGGCTTCGAGCGGTAAGTCTCTCCTACATCGATATGCATTTTATAGTACCGTAACTAACACAAGCCAACTACAGGCGAGGTGACTGTAATGGAAGGAGGCCGGGTGTGCGTCAGTTCCAAATCAGTAGTCTGCCTCGGAGCGCCCAAGACTGGAATTATAAATGCACTGCTTGCCGGGGAGGGTCTTACTTGGAGTCTTTCCGTAGCAGACATTGGGATTCCTCAGATTGTGTGGAGGAAGTATGGGACACGTCGCCGGCACGGAATTGACTTCGGCAATCGCTGGGTTGTGCCTCTACGCTACCAGCCATCCTCTGCTTGAAATTGCTCATGTGCGGTAGCCCTTGCCCTTTGCGTGACAACTGAACAGCTTAAATTATGGCGTTATACGGGTTTTACAAAAAAATAATAGCGGGTTTGATTCAGGGTATACCCCTTTCTGCAGTGTCAACGATATGCATCATGCTAGTTATAGCCGGTTGGCCGTACTTCGGCGAAATGAACTTCAAAACGAGTGGATTGTACCATGTGTAGTTGTTGTAAGGCCAACCCACTACCTAGCAAGTGAATTAGAAATTCATGGTTTTCTAATCAACTCCCTAGCACCTAGCAGATGCCTATGTCAACCTGTATGTTAAATGGATCTGTCCATCAGATGGATTAATTCTGGTCTAGCCTGATTTGGTTAGTTTCGCATCTAGGCCGGAGCAATACATCATCTCTTGCGGCGCGGCGGTCGCGCATTTGCGAAGATTCGGTCAGAATATCAACATAAAACTTCGTCGCCGAGATGGGGAAAGGTTAGTTTAGTGAATCAATGTTCTGAGCTACTTGATAAATATCACTTTAATGCTAACAGACCCTTTGCCTGGTAGGAACGGATAAGCTTTATGTATGATACACCTCATTGAAGATTTGTTCTTCGCGATCTATTAGACTCCATCGTGTTGGTTACTGATCGCAAAGTTCAAAACAGATCACACATTCTGAGTGGGCATCAGGAGATGCGTACTCTGCGAGTGCCGGAGCAGGAGGAGGAAGAGGAGGCGACAACGCACCCTTCAAACGTCTTCCTTTCAATTTCTGCTCTCTCTCACTGCAGCCATTCGCGCACCCGGTTTGCACGCCTTCAGGGACAATTTTCGACCTCACCAATATTCTCCCTTGGATCAAGAAACATGGGAAGAATCCGGTTGACGGTACGCCGCTGAAAAATTCTGACCTCATTAAGCTCAACATCGCGAAGAACGAATCGGGCGATTACGTCGACCCAGTAACCTATAAAGTCTTAACCGATAACACGCATATTGTCGCTTTGCGTAATACCGGAAATGTCTTCGCTTGGGATACTGTTGAGCGGTTGAATATCAAGGGAAAGCTGTGGCGCGACCTCGTTACAGATGAGGAATTCGGACGCAAGGACATAATTACACTACAGGATCCACAGAATATCGAGTCGCGGAACCTCAGCTCCTTTAATTATTTGAAGGATGGCGAAACTGTTCCTGGACAGAAAGAGGAAGAGTCCAATGTCAATGCCAGCGCATTGGGAAGTTCGGCGAAGATCCTAAAGGCGAAGGAGGCTGTGGCTAAAGCCCGTTCGGAGAGAGCGCAACGAGCTGGCTCTACTACTGTCGCCAAAAAGGCTGATGGTAGTACAACTGCAAGTACTCAATCCAAAACGGCCTCGTTCCAATCTGGGAAACCTACACCATACAATGCAGCCAAACATACTACTGGTCTGGCTGCGGCATCCTTCACGAGTACCGGTCTAACTCCACATACCTCTGCTGAGCTCGCACTCCTTTCTGACGAAGAATACATGTTAAAACGGGGGCGTGTAAAGCAAAAGGGTTATGCTCGAATCTCAACCACATCCGGTGATATTAACCTGGAGCTACAGACGGAGTACGCGCCAAAGGCCGTGTGGAACTTTATCAAATTGGCTAAGAAAGGATATTATAAAGATGTCACTTTCCATCGCAATATCAAGGGTTTTATGATCCAGGGCGGAGATCCCTCGGGTACTGGTCGGGGTGGTGAAAGTATCTGGGGCAAATACTTCAATGATGAATTTGAGGGACCTTTGAAACATGATTCCAGAGGGACTCTCAGCATGGCCAATAAAGGCAAGAACACGAATAGCAGCCAATTGTAAGTGATCCTACCTTGCCCGTTGTTTGCCTCCTTTTTTGACCCCCACACTACGGCGGGAGTTTGCTCGAGATGGCTGGTGCTAACTTTGCTCTACTAGCTTCATTGCGTACCGTGCTCTCCCGCACTTGAACAACAAGCATACTATTTTCGGTCATGTAATCGACGATCCGACTCCTTCATCTACCACCCTAAACAACCTGGAAACGCACCCGGTCAATGCGTCAACTAATAGACCTACTCCAGACATTCGCATCACAGATGTCACAATATTCGTGGACCCGTTTGAGGAGTTTCTGAATCAGAAAAAGGCGGAAGAGGCGTCAGGGAAGAATAAAACAACCGATCCAATAGAAGAAGATCGGGAAACTCAGCAGGAAGATGACGACCAAGTTACTTGGACAGGAAAGAGAGTACGCGGCCCAGGCTCTACAGGAGCTGGTGGTGATGCTGGGAGCGGAGTTGGGAAGTATTTGAAGGCAGCGCTGGCTAATCAGGCCGGTCAAGAAGAGGATGAAATCGTGGAGTTTGTAGACGAGGAGCTCGAGCCCGAGCCGATGCGGAAGAAGTTCAAAAGCAGAGGAGGGTTTGGGGATTTCAGTTCGTGGGATTGAAGGTCTCCCTGTTGATGCTATTCATCCCATACCGTACGTACTCATACTTTAGAATCATGATAGGTCTATATAGCACGGTGTCCGGGGTTTGTCCCAGAAAATTTCTATATAAGTGAATGTACGAATAGGTTCCAGGATACTTAGATCATTCGAATTTTGCCCTCAATGCGGTAAGATGTCTTGTGTTTAGGACTTATAGTCTCTGTGATTTGGTCAATGCTTCTAAAAGTTCTTCGCCGTTCAGGCGGCATGATAAGTCCGTCGGTTATATATATTATGTATCTGTGCACAAGCCAGTACGAAGTAGAATCGTACAATATGAAAAAAACAACGTTCCAATGCGGGCAATAGACACTAGGAAAACCAAGGCACACTACTGAGTGGACGAGATACCATACCATATCATATCATATCGTATAAATTGGGATCTCATGATCCTTGACCCCTACCTAGTCCCAGGGGAAGGAAAAAGCAACCGTTTTGCCTCACTACTGTAAGTGATGCTGCTTTGGGGGATCCACCCGCTCCCCATTCCGGCCTCAGCTAATGAAATAGTCTGGGCGGTCTTCCGCCCTTCCGGCACTGGCGTTCGACCGCCTGCGTGATTAGTTAAAACTCTCCCCCGACCTGGGTTTAGCGCAAAGAACGGGAGTGGGAAGTGACCTGAGTTGCTTTCCCAGCAATGATGAACTAACTACGAACTACTAACTACTACTACTAATAATAAGTGCCCATCGATCCCACCTCTAACCAACCCGCGCTCGCCGTACTTCAGCCCAGAGTACGTCTTCAACACTTTTTACATCCAGAAAACCTTAGAGCTTTGATTTCATCTGATCGTGTTCCTCGTGAGTGTTACTTAATTCCTACCCAAATTCCGCTCAGTGGCTTAGCACACTGTTGCTTCCATGTGTCGCCGCGCAGTGGGGTTGATCATGATGTGCCCCCATGGAACCTGATCCAAGGTGACAAATCAGTTTCAGTCGGATAGACTTGTGATGATCATTTCAAATTCATGCGTATTTCCTACTAGTCACTGTTTTTTTTTTCCCGCTATGTTCTTTTGTATATGTCTGGTAGAGAAGGGCCACTATATGTCATAGACCTGTTTCTTTTCGACCACGCAGACGCCCAGACACTCGTCATCTGATACCACTGCTTCTTGGATATCACCTGAGTCTTGGAAATCATTATCCTTCAACCTACTCGAGTTGGAAGCAAATTCTAGTACACTCAGTCACTGACACTCTCCTTATTTTTCTTGTTCAGCTCTTTCCCCTCGCTTCCGCCGCAATTCCTACCCTACGTCAGTCAGGCCTTGCCAGATTTCGTCTTCCGCCGCCGCCGCCGCCGCCGCCGCTCTCTCTACTCTAACTTTGGTCTGGTTTAATACCACATTCTCATACCTACAATCAAGCTGGCAGGGAATAAGCGGAGAAGTTTTTCGAGCCAGGGTGGGTTGCTGAACAGAATGTTCAGTGGCTCTTCGAGCCCACCCAAAGACAAATCAACTTCAGTTCCACATTCCGGTGCTGTCGATACACAATCTTTGAGTGTACATCCCGAGGAAGGCGCTGTAACCCATACCAGCAAATCTCTGCCGTCCGGTGGTTTCTTTACGAGAAGGACTAGCGAAGACCAGGGCCCTGCCGGGGAGAAGAAGCGCCGGAGTAGCACAGTCACGAAAGCGGCGACTTTTTTCACCAACGCTAAGAATTCGCTGAGTTTGAGTAGTAGTCCTCGTGAATCTTCGTCGTTCAATTACACGGTTCGATCTCCGCAAACGTTGCAGTCACTTGGGAGCATGGACCCGGCATTGAGTGTCCCACAAGGGTCATTGAACAATTCGGCTGGCGATTCGCTACCCACTCCTCGCTCATCGTTCAAAGTTGGTGTCACAGAAGACCGGAATCGAAAATGTCGCCGGACTATGGAAGATACCCATGCATATCTCTACAACTTTTTGGGGACCCCCGCACCATTAGCCCGGGCTGATGGCGAGAACCAGCCTGATTCTTCCCTCGCACCTGAAGAAGCGTCTAGCGTTGTTGAAACTGACAATGGGTATTTCGCCATTTTCGATGGACATGCCGGCACATTCGCTGCTGAATGGTGTGGGAAGAAATTACATCTGATTTTAGAGGATATAATGAAGAAGAATCCCAATACGCCCGTTCCGGAACTTCTCGACCAAACATTTACTAGCGTTGATCAGCAGTTAGAGAAGTTACCTGTGAAGAACAGTGGGTGTACTGCTGTCATTGCCCTTCTACGGTGGGAAGACCGGATCCCCAGTTCGCATTCGGCAACTGGCTCTTCGGCACTTGCTCCCGCAGCAGCCGCAGCCGCAAAGGGCGATTCCAATCCAGAAGCCGATGACACACCCACTCAAGCAACCAGTACTGGCCCGTCCATTCTGCCCAAATTACAAGACAAAGCTATACGGCAACGTGTCTTGTACACGGCCAATGTGGGTGATGCTCGTATAATTTTATGTCGCAATGGCAAGGCGCTCCGGTTGTCCTACGATCACAAAGGTAGCGACGAAAATGAGGGAAAGAGGATAGCCAACGCCGGGGGTTTGATACTTAACAACAGAGTAAACGGTGTTCTCGCAGTGACCAGAGCCCTGGGCGATGCCTATCTCAAGGATCTCGTCACGGGGCACCCGTATACCACGGAGACCGTGGTCCAACCGGACTCTGACGAATTTATTATTTTGGCCTGCGACGGGGTAAGCAATGGTCTTCGTAATATTCAATGAATGTCGCTAATGATTATAATTAGCTGTGGGATGTCTGCACTGACCAGGAAGCCGTGGATCTTGTTCGAAATGTCCCAGACGCTCAGGAAGCATCTAAGATCCTGGTCGACTATGCACTTGCACGGTTTAGTACAGATAACCTTTCTTGCATGGTTATCCGACTCGATACGGATCGTGTCAAGGAGGTCATCAACAAGACCGCTGAGCCAATTGGTGTGGCTGGCGATCCGTCTATGGATGTCGAGCACGGCGTGAGCGAAGCAGACAAGATTATCGAGGGGGCGAGAAAGAGCATGGCCAATGCAGACATTGCAGATGATAGTGAAACGGCTGAGAAGGTCAAAAATGAAATTTTGCATAAAATGGCTGATGGCGAACCCGGGCCAGAGATGTCTGTGGACGATTCTAATGATGCACCAACCGTCAGCCACTTAAACAAGACTGATGCAAATAACGGGAATCCCTAAGCGTCAGGTAGCAACACCTGCGAGGCTGACGTCGTATCAGAAAGAGAGGATAGAAAGCTTTGAGCTACGTCCATACCTCGGTACAGACAATGAATTTGCATCTTTGTTTCTTTGTTACCTTCTCTTTCCGCCCTCGTTTATTTCAACAACCTACTGGCGTCGATCGCAGCCGGGGACCTTGGGACCTCTGGTAGCCCACGGTCACCCGGTATTATCTTCTTCTCCTGCCCCTTGAGACCCAAACATGTGGGTTTTACTGGTTCTCCTTTTGTTCTGGTTTTGCACTCTTCTGTTTTCTCATCTACATATAGAGGTACTCGACCTCTGCTTTTATGCCATTAGTCGAAGAAAGCGGAACTGACCCGGTCATCCGTGTTCTACCTCCTCGGACAAATGACTGCTGCTCCTGTATTGGTACATAACGCTGTAAATCTGAACCCCAAATTTGAAATCAATAGAAGTTAATATGGGTCTTCGTAGATAATCGGAACAACAGCAAATGTCCCACCATGTAGATTATAACTAGGGGGAGAAGTAGTAATAAATTGACAATCTGCTAAACGCCATTGCATCATCTAAAAATACAAATCTGTATATGCGAAGAACGAATACATCTTTCCAAGGTAATATCCACACAAGTTTCCATCAGTATTCAATACACATCTTCTTATAGCCCTTAGGCCTTCTGCTCCGGCTGCTTCTCCTTGAACGCCTCATCAGCAAGAATTTCCACACCATAGTTGGGCTTCTGTCCTGGCATAACGTGATCGCGGGTCAGGTCGAGTTCACCGTGGCGGACACGCTCAGGCCAAGATTCGGCGAGACGAGCATCGTGGACATCAGTCCAGAGAATCTTGACACTATTGCTTTCCAGTCCGTTCGTGCTTTCAGTCTCCTGGACCTTGTATTCGACCTCGGCTGTGCTCAAGGTCTTTTCCAGCTGAGCCACACGCTCAGCTTGCTCGGCGGCCTTAGCAGTCTCCTTCGCACGAGCCTCCCTGCGGCGCCGTCTAGCAGTGCGAGTGAGGTATCCCCTCTTGCCATCAGCGAAACCATTCGCGATCTCCTCCTCCTGGATGGCCAGAACGGCCGACACATCGGCAACACTGGTGGCCTTCTGGTCCATCAGGGCACGAGCGCGGTGCTTCTTCTCCATCAGCCAGCCGACCTTGTCTGCATACTTCTCGTCGAACTTCTTGGCTCCCTCGGGGTCTTTGGGTCGCTTCTGATCCAGGAACCTTTCGCTGATGGTGATCATCTCACGAGGAGGCGCGAGTTGGCGCTGCATGGCAAATTCGCGGAGAAGGTGGTAGGCACGGAGGCCGAGCTTGGGCTCATCGAAATGGACAGAGTAGTAAGGCACCCACATGTCCTTTCGGAGTGTAGCGGGGACGGTCTTTTTGCCGTGGTATACTAGCTGGCGGAGGACACTGTTTTTCTAAGGGAAATATACACCTTAGCATATGCTTCTGTGAAATTATAGAACGAGCACAAGGATGAAAAGGACGTAGTCTTACCTCCAGATACCGCGTCAAGGAGTAGACAACCTGGTTGGTGCGGATGTTATGATAGACGAAGATGTTCTTCCCGTGCGTAATGGCATTGATGGCCTTTCGTAACCGGACTCCCTCCTTCCACTGGTGTGTCTTGAAAGCATTCGAATTCTGTTCCCGCGCTTTTCCCTGGATCACGGTATGGTTCTCGACTGGCGGGCGACGGACGATATTCCATGTCCCGATTTTGGTCGGGTCCAGGATCTTCTGGAACGG